AAATGGAATAATGTTACAAGCCACATTTATTTCAAATAAAGCCTGTTTTTTCTCAAGTTTGAAGTAATTTCATTAATATTTTTGTTTACTTTAGTCCCATAGAGCATGACGTATCCACCCATATAAGACCTGAACTAGGCATGCCATTGTTTCACAATAAGCCTTTCAATTATTACAGTATTTACTCACGTTCAAAAAAGTATCAATTTCATTTTTCAGTCTATTTGTAGGAACATGTCATGAGGCTAATGAGGCCAACTTGAATGTAACGTGGGCCTTATTACCCTACCTCCATTTATTCATCGTTTTCTCAATATAGAATCGATCAAAATTCCTATGAATCGAACGTACAGGTTGATTCACCATAAATGTCGTCTCTAGCTCAGTTATTTTGTAACTGATTCCAAAATTTGAAGAATCATTTGAAATTATTTTTGATAATTTTTTTCCCACTACATCAGAAAATACAACGTGCTCGGAACAAACAGGATATACTAATTGATTTTCTTAAATTGAAAACCCTGTATTTCATTGCATTTTTAGATCTTGCCTGAAGAGCTGATTTCATCATTACATCAACACCCTTGTGGGTAGAAAGGTCCATACCCATACCTTTCATTCCAAATAATGTTAAATTAATGCAGATTTTGTTGATTGTTGAATTTGAGACATGTTTCGAGAAAAACATCCAGGTGATCGGTATTTGAAAATATGTGAGCTCATTTCGGAGCCTTATTATAATAATACGGTGTTGCAATGCGACCAACAAACAGTGTTTTGAAAACCACAACTACTTTCATATAAAGTCGAATTCGTGATAATTCTACTTTTTCCTACGAGCGTACCTACGGAAAAGTAATCTTTCTGCAGGATTTTCCGTTATTGTTTTAGTTATTGTTATTTAAATGTTCTTCAAATGAGATTTCCTATTATATCGATGGGAAAAAATCTATTTCATTATTTTTCAGAGCATGGAAATATTGTGTGAAAATAGTTATTTTCCTAACAAGTGCGCAAAGTTTTACTTTTCCGCACGCAAATACAGTTAGGCGAACGACGCGGAGCGGAGTTCAAATAAGTTTTTGCATGCGGAAAAGACACTTTGCGCACGTGTTAGGAACAACGTTTTTCCTACCAGCTCCATATCAGATAAAAAGGAAAATAAAAAAACTATAACTTATTGAAAAATGTAACTATACAACAATCACATATAACAATAAAATATAATAATAGAAAATCACATTTTCCCTTCGAGCTTCATATCAGATAACAAAGAAAATAAAAAAATTTCAACTCAAAATAAATTTATTGAATAATTTTTAGTTGAACTTGATAGAAATAGCTAAACAACAAACAATTACACATCAATAAAGTATAATGATAGAAAATTGAATCATTTGTTCCTAATATTTATATTGAGGTGAAATACATGTATCGGGAAGAACGGTTGAAAAGTGATAGAGATAACGGCTTCTTATAGTGCATACAAGCAACTAAAATGAATATAAATGTCCCATACAATATTATTGTCAATAAAATGTGCGCCACTGTTTTTTTTCAAATCTGTATTTTCAATAACTTTTGTCCAACTAAGAATACAACATTTTGGTGTCTTGAAATGTTTTGATATTTTGCCTCATTTCCATGGAAAAAAATAGATACCAATTTATTGCATAAATTTGTGCCGAAAAATTCCTTCACAAAATGGGATGAAAATGAATGCGTGATTCATGTCCATAGACATAGAATGAGAATGATGATTCATTTTCTTCAAATATCTGATGATACATGTTTGACACACTCTACACTCTGTATATTGAGAACTATGTATTCGCGGTCCAGGAAGGAGTAGTTTTCAATAATACAAAGTGTAAATACTGTCTGTAGGTTAATCGAGGAGGTGGTACATTCATTATTCCAAATTTTTTGGGATTTTCTCTCCTCGTTTCTATAAAATAAATATATGAATATTATTTCAATATACGTGTTGTAAGGACAAATCAGATGATTTGCCCCAAAATGTCACTGCGTTTAGAGAATTTTCCTATCAGAGAGCCTAAAAGAAAAATTCACTAGCTTGTCAGTGACAATTTGTATTGAAAAAAGTTTGGAGAAGAGAAATAAAGGTATATAGAAAAAGTAACAAATTTTTACTTATCTTTGGACGTTTCGGGACCGATTCTGCTCCCGTTTTCAACATGAGAAGAGATTATTTCAATAGCGAAGTCGTATAATATGTCTTGAAGCTTTTCAGTTTTCAATGACAATTGGTGACGTTGGCAATCAAATGAGTTACAGGATGTTTTCATTAATTAATCTTGAATTTACCATTTTCATGTTCAGATTTTAGTAGTGAATACAATGTTCAAAAATGCCCAAAAAATTTGGAATAATGAATACGAAGTGTGACAAATATGTATTATGAAGTATTGAAAAAAAAATGAATCTTCATTCTTATTCTATGTCAATGGACATGTGTCACACATTTATTCACCCATGTTTTTGAAGGAATGTTCAATAGGATATGAAGATGAATAATTCAAAAAAAAATCAGTGGCGCACATTTTATTGACAATAATATTCGCTAGGGTGTCCCCGGGACGCCACTGGATTTCACAATTCCAATTAAATTATGGGTAAATCAGCCCCTCATGAAAAAGAATATCATTGCCAAATTTCAAGAGAACCGGTGAAAGGATATTTGAGATTTTTGGATGTATGATAAATTGATATTTATCATACAGGACGTGGAAAGAAATTCTGAATTGAGAAAACCTAATACCTAATCACGAATCTGCGATTGAGGTCTACAAAAATAACAAGTTTCCATCGTTATATTTTTAGTTATATTATAGGGAGATGAAAATTGTGTATATCATGAAGAATGGCTGAAAGAATAACTGGACTTCAGGTTACTGATGGGGATTTGATATCCGAAATGAGTTTTACTCGAGTGAAGTCATATAACCTACTGTTTGTGAGAGATATAATTCCCATATCACTGATACGAATGATTTTGTGGAAGTTCGAAGCTCATCAATATCAGAGTTCATACAAGTATACTTCTCCTATACCTTTCGATTTTCATTTCAATACTAAACATATTGGTAAGTTATATTTTTATATCATAATACATCATATTATGTCAATTCACAATTTCAGAGGATTTTGATTTTTCATGCTCTCTTTTTGGATATTCAACAGATATAATTCAATGTTCGACGTGACAAATAGCCAGGAAAGTAGTTGTTTCCTGTTGAATATTCAGAATGATATTATGTTCATATCTTTATATGAAGGAGAATGTAAATTCTCTACTTCAGGAGATTTTGTTTTCAAATTCTTATCGTGTGTGTTCAATAGATGTAATTCAATGTTCGCCGTGGCATATAGCCAGGAGAGTAATTGTTTTCTGTTGAATAAACCGAAAAAGAATTGATATTATCATCACATGGAGAATGCGAATTCTCAATGTATTTCTTTATATACAGTGTGTCCACCTTAAGGACTTACCACCCCTGTAAAATCGTTATTACTTGACAAATTTCAAAAAACCTATTTTTGTTGGATAGGTATTTGAAATGCCCATCCAACGAGAGAGTGATCTAATTCTTGGACAGTCATCGTGGCCAACTGCGACAAATTTCAATGACCCATATTCCAGAAAGTACTATTAGGGATTTTTTTTCACAAAACTTGATGATGGATTCTGAATCACTACCACTTGAAATATACCTACCTGTACCGATTTTCATCATCATAAAACACAAGGTGTCCGAAAAAACGAATCATCATTTTCTTCAAATAGGTGATCAGCAAAAAATGTAGTTTTTCTATATAGAAAGAAATAATCACAAATTATCATTGAGGATTATTTCAAATATACCTGTATTCCTGTAGCAATTTTCGTCATTTGAATATACAATGTGCCTGAGAAAAAATTAAAATAATAGGTAAGCAATATTTTTCATCCTGATAATTCTTCACTCAGAATAAAAAGATGAATCAGGATCACTTGGAACATACCTGTATCGATTTTCATCATCATTAAACACAGGATGTTCGAAAAATCAAATTAATATTTTTTTTGAGTTGATGAAAAAATATTGCCTACTTTTTCTTTTTAATTGTTTTCACATACACATCGTATTTTTGAATGATGAAAATCGGTATTGATATGTTCAAAGTGATCCTCAATAATAATGTGTCATCAATTCTTCTCAAAAATACCACTATACTACATTTTCTGATCACCTATTAAAAAAACAACATAATTCGTTTTTTCGGACACCCTGTGTTTTATGATGATAAAAATCAGTGAAGGTGTTTTTCAAGTGATCGTGATTCAGAATCCATCATTGTTTTTTGTAAAAAAAATCCCTAATAGTACTTTCTCAAATATGGGTCAATAAAGTTGGTCGCAGTTGGCCACAATTACAGTTCATGAGTAAAATCTCTCTCTTGTTGGATGGACATTTCAAATACCTATCTAATAAATAAAAGTTTTTTGAAATCAGTCAGATAATAACAATTTTAAAGGGGTGGTAAGTCCTTAAGGTGGACACACTGTATATATATATATATATCCATTTTTTTGTGTTCATAAATATATCTGAGAATATTCCTTTTTGATATTTGAGATATTCATGACAAAAACAATTTTTTAAAGTTCAGCACACTGTACCTTCCGGACCCACGTCGTGTAGATATATGAAATGAATTTCATGTTTTCTCATGCAGAATCACCCCCTTGATTTTTTGCTCATAATTTCCGGACACCCTGTATAGGGTACCATAAATATTCAATTTGATCCTGAGTGTTTCGATTTACATGAGAATAACGTCTCACAAATTTTTCTTATCTTGAAAATCTTCAGCTAGCTGGGTAAATAGGATTTTACTATTGTTAGAATGAGGTCAAGGGGCCATTTAGAAAACTTCTTTCCACCATCGTCGATTTGGATTCGAGTCGATAAATAGAAGCAAATATGGTGGGCAAGGGCCTCAGTTCTTCTCGATCGCTCTTGGAGGAAGAACAAGTGAAGAAGAACGTGTTTTCGGGATGATTTTCTTTTTGGTCTGTTTGGCGGTCGCGCTGCTCATGGTTTTGATGCTGTTCAGCATGGGGAGACCGAGAAAATATCCGCCAGGTAAGAAAAACAAAAAAATATCTAAATTTGATTAAAGTTGAAAAACATGTTTTTGACGTAGTAAAATTTTTCATAAAATTAATATAGGATGAAGGTTATTGAAACTGAAAGCCTTGAGCTCGAAAAGCTGTAAACTGAAAAAACATTATTTTATAGCGGGTGTCGACGACAATCGTATCACCCTTTTTCCTTTGGAGTGGTTCAATAAGAACATTTTAAAATTCTGGAAGATTTTAATACGCAATTTGTTAATGCTGATTTGTTTACCCGGTTTCTGGGAGATACTCCAAACATTTCATTTTCCGAATTTTTTCACATTTTTGGATTTAGTTCTAAATAAAGCAGAATCTTTTTTTGGTCAAACTTCCAAAAGTAGCAAATTTGTATTCATTTCATTGTTCAAATAATTGTTTTCAGGTAATTGTGATTGCCATAATACATTTTTTTGCACTTCCTCCTCTCCCCCACCAATCCATTGATGATTCATTTTTCATCATTCATTCAAATTATTACGTACAGTGTAACGACATACAAACTACAAATTTATATATAAATTATATAGATATAATTGTTGGAATGAACATGACATTTTCTGAATTTGAATCCAAAAATTAAACTTTTCTGTGATCTGACTAAGAATGTGAAAGAAGACAGGGTCTTTTATTTGATAAACATTTATAAATCGCACCAAACAATTCACATTTCAAATTCCTGACTAATTTTTTTCGCAACTTCCAATATTCCGATATTTTTTATTCTTTGAACATTCAGATACTTCTCTTCAACAGAGAGTGTATAATCTCTGTCTTTAGTAATGATTTCAATTATCTATCTATCAACGTGGGCCGAATTAATCTCGAGAAGTGAATTTTGATTTCAAAAGAAAAAAATGTAGGTACGAACGCGAAGCCCAATAATTGAAATTTTCTAATGGACGTGTGATTGATTATGAATTTCAAGCTTTCAACATTAATATCTCGAAACCTAATTTAGACATTGAAAATTTCAAAATCTTGAATCACATGTTGTTCTCTTTCGAATGATGCCCACCAGCAAACATCATATCCCCGTTCTATGTACGGGGGTGTGGACAAGTTTAATTTCTTTGAATGGAACACCCTATATTTTGAAAGAGTGATTTTTCTTGATTTTAAACAATTATAATGTTCATACATTCCATGGAGTAATGGGTGAACCAAAGGAATTAAACTTGAGATTCATTATTCCAAATTTTTTGGGATTTTCTCTCCTCGTTTCTATAAAATAAAAATATGAATATTATTTCAATATACGTGTAGTAAGGACAAATCAGATGATTTGCCCCAAAATGTCACTGCGTATAAAGAATTTTCCTATCAGAGAGCCTAAAAGAAAAATTCACTAGCTTGTCAGTGACAATTTGTATTGAAAAAATTTTTGGAGAAGGAAAATAAAGGTATATAGAAAAAATATCAAATTTTCACTTATCTTTGGACGTTTCGGGACCGGTTCTGCTCCCGTTTTCAACATGAGAAGAGATTATTTCAATAGCGAAGTCGTATAATGTCTTGAAGCTTTTCAGTTTTCAATGACAATTGGTGACGTTGGCAATCAAATGAGTTACAGGATGTTTTCATTAATTGATCTTGAATTTACCATTTTCATGTTCAGATTTTAGTAGTGAATACCATGTTCTGTCTATATCAACTGAACAAGAAGCAATGCTATTGTCTCCGTTCTTTGTAACGAGTGTTTATCGTAAAAAGACCCATACTAACAGATACTTGAACTTTCAATCAAATCATCAGAAAAGTATTGAGGAAGGAAGGAGCCAAATCAATATCATCTGACCAACAAATTTTCAATAACAAAGTCCACCACATTAAAAATGTTCTCCAACTCAATTCTTATCCAAAGAATTTTGTCGATAGGACGATTCATCAAATTGAAAACAAACATGGTCAACCACAACAAAATCAACCATCAATAACGACAAATATAATACCATACATTCCCGGCATATCTGAAAAAATTAAACGTGTTGGTGATAAATTTCAAGTGAAAACTGTGTTCAAAACTGAAAATACAATGAGATCAATTCTAACTCAAACAAAGCCGAAAAATGAAGAACAATCGTCAAAAAATTGTATTTACAGTATACCTTGTGTTTGTGGAAAGTTTTATACAGGTGAAACCAAGAGACCTCTTTCAGTAAGGACGAAGGAACATAAAGTACAATATAAAGAAAAGAAACATCGATAAATCGAAACTAGCTGAACATATTCTTACTGAAGACGGACAACATATGGCAGAGTGGAATAATATTAAAATTATTGGAAAAGAAGATAACAACCAGAAGAGAAAAATCAAGGAATGTGCTTGCATTCTTCTGAACGGAGACAATAGCATTGCTTCTTGTTCAGTTGATATAGACAGAACATGGTATTCACTACTAAAATCTGAACATGAAAATTGTAAATTTGAGATCAATTAATGAAAACATCCTGTAACTCATTTGATTGCCAACGTCACCAATTGTCATTGAAAACTGAAAAGCTTCAAGACATTATACGACTTCGCTATTGAAATAATCTCTTCTCATGTTGAAAACGGGAGCAGAACCGGTCCCGAAACGTCCAAAGATAAGTGAAAATTTGATATTTTTTCTATATACCTTTATTTCCCCTCTCCAAAAATTTTTTCAATACAAATTGTCACTGACAAGCTAGTGAATTTTTCTTTTAGGCTCTCTGATAGGAAAATTCTTTAAACGCAGTGACATTTTGGGGCAAATCATCTGATTTGTCCTTACTACACGTATATTGAAATAATATTCATATTTTTATTTTATAGAAAAGAGGAGAGAAAATCCCAAAAAATTTGGAATAATGAATGTACCACCTCCTCGATTAACCTACAGACAGTATTAAACTTGAGATTACTCGAAATTTTCGTCATGAAATCATCTCATTCGACTCAAGTTGAGCTGAAACCAGGAGATTATTGAAAATGGCGATTGTCAGTTGATCTGACAGCAAACTTGAATTCAATTAGATAATTTCACGACCATACAATTTCAATCAATCTCAAGTTATACATATAATCCTTTGATTCAACCAGTATTACTCTATGGAAGGAATATATATATATATATATATGTTTAAAATCAGGAAAATCACTTTTTAGAAATATGCAGTACCTAAAAAGAGGGTCTCCAATTAAAAAAATAACACATCTTCACACCCCTCCGAAGTTTTCAATATCATAATTAGTTATCGAGATATTGAGTGTTGAAAGCGTGAAATGCATATGTACAGGGTGGGCCAAATTGGACACTTTTACACACTTTTCACAAATTGGTAAAGGTGCAATTATTTAAAAAATCAAGTTCTACGCCTATGTTTTATTATCGGACAAAATTTTAACACCATTTTTTTGCCACATGAAACTATCAATATATCAAATTTCAGCAAAATCGCATATGCCGTATTAAATTTATATGATGAGAAAAACGATTTAAAAATTGTAACTTCAAGGCCCTCTGGAGCCCAAACGATGCAACTTTGTACTGAGGTAATTTTTCTTAAATCGACTTATTTTGGTCTAGGGAATATGTGGTATGTTTTTGTAAAGACCTTTACAGACACCCTGTATATTATAAATATTTCCGAATTCATCGATATTATCAATATTATCTACAATATCGATATTAGCGCCAGAATCATCTCGAATACTCAGAAAATCGTGATATTACTTATGTACAAAATTTAGTAGGCAAGCTGACTTTGCCCGTCACTTTGAAGTATCCGATAAACAATAATATGGTTATAAATCAGCGACGAAATTCACGATATAAACTCGTTTGATATCTTCATAAGTGAATAATTACTGATTTAACCAGTACTGAGTGATATCGACGAAGCGGCACAAAATGTACTTTTCTCTTCGTCCACCCATATTTTTATCACCTAACTGTTGTTGAAAATCTTGACATGCTATAATGGCAGGAAGTAAGGATATTTCAACATAGATATCAATAAAATAGTATGTAAAAATATAAGCAACATTTTTTTCTTCATTTATTCATATAACAAAAACATACATTGCTAAAGTATCAATGAGCTACAGTCGTTATTCATTCCTGACAAATAGTACCACAGTTTATATTCTGTTACGATTAAAACTCAATGAAAATAAACAAATTCAAATATGGAATGAAATAGGTAAAGCTGCCCTGTCCTCATATGGTAGATATCTTATATGCCGTCTTGTACCTCTCAATCGCAGGGACACGGCTCTGATTAGTGATTATGGACATTTGCCCTTGTATGCGAATCCACCCTATTGTTTGAGAAAACGGCTTCTTCCTTTTTCGTGATAATGTATCTGCTAAACGTTTCTGCAAAACAGCATATTCCTGGTGTAATACACCTTCAGCAAAACGAGTCAATGGAGTGAAGCTAGCTCTGATGTCTTCTGCTGCACTGTCATATTTTCTATGCTTCTGCTCTGCATGATTATAGGCGATGGTATGCCAGCTTTGGGAAATATTAGACAGTGCGTTATGTATATTATTTCACTCAACAGATGAGACGTTTGAAAACTTCCGTCAGTTTTGAAAAGTGTTAAATCACATGTCAAAGTAAGTTAAAACCACGTTAAAACATATTACACCTGTCGCCTAGCAACTAACGACAATTCCCCCGCTACCATCATTATTCCCATAACTTATTCCTCTCTCCAGGTCCCAATTTCCTGCCCATCGTCGGCAATTACCTCGAGTACAGAAAACTGCTGCAGACCACCGGTTACCACCACCTGGTGTGGACGAAGCTGAGCGAGCGGTACGGCGAGGTGGTCGGTTTGAAGCTGGGCAGGATGCTGACGGTGGGAGTGTTCGGCGCTGAAGCTATCAAGGAGGTGTTCACCAGGGAGGACTTCGACGGCAGGCCGGACGGGTTCTTCTTCAGGTTGCGGACCTTCGGCAAAAGATTGGGTGAGATACAGGCCCGGACTGGCTACTATTTTGCTACCGGGCATTTTCTTTGACCGGCCCCTTCACACGCGGGGCAAAATGGATACTTTTGCTCCCTTGATATTTACATTGCTATTGGGTTCGATCATATATAATTTTGCATCTCAGGAATATCAATAGAACTGTATAGTAGATGGGGGCCTAAAACATAAATGTCCTGAATTATATAGGAATGCTTATTACGAGTGACCTATACGCCGGGCGGTAACATGTCACTTTACACCAGCAAAACAGACCAGTTTAGCGCTACTTTTACACTCGGTCGTGTATAATAGTATATTATGTATAACAAGTGTTATAAACGTCCTTTTAGTAACGAGTATTTTAAGCACGAGCGGAGCGAGTATTTAATAAACGAGTGTCTAGAAGAGTTTATAAACGCGTTACATACTATGCTTTTTCTACGAACTCCTAAAATTACATTAACATACCTGCTATTCCTGCTAACCTACAAAATAATTCGAAAGGAATGGGAATTGAGAACATGATAGATGCAACTGATGCATGCAACCAGCGAGACACGTATAAGTGATATTGGTTGTAGATGTGTCCAGTCCATTGCTTACTAGCCTTTGTTTCACGTTTATTGCCATGCTTAGCGAATAAATAAATTGTTCTCAAAGATGGATGCTTCATTTTTACACTTCTTGGAGATACGCAAGTACCAAAACATTCTCTTCGATTTCACTTTCTTATAATACATTTCGCATATATTATCAATGAAAAATTCTGATAAAAACGAAAATTGTTCGAATAATTCTGATACAAAATTCGAAAATAACAGTTGACAGTTAATACAATTGACAGGCCAGACATGTCTCAAATTACTGAAGCTGTGTTTAATGAACTGAAATCCATGAAAATATATATTTTAGAATACGCTCTCTTCATTTGGAATATTTTCAGCAATGCAGTGTTGTCGCTTCTATCAAAAAGTAGCAACAACTTTGTTATTTCAAATAGAATACCCTGTATTTTATTGCATTCTTAGATTTTTTCTGAAGAGCTGATTTCATCGAAACATCACACTTGGTGTCTATCGGAAATGAGTACAGAGATATAGGGTGTTCAAAATAGAGATTTTTCAACTTTTGGATTTGTTTGTGTCGAAACTATTTATTATCGGCCACAACGGCTCACATGTCCCTATCTCGACTTTTGATTCACTATTTACTGATATTTAATCGGAATAGATACCGTCAGATGCTGTCCCGCGTTTTTTATGTTATGAAAAATCCCGAATTAATAATTATTTGAAAAATTTACAGAGTTCTGAGTAGAAAACGTTTTGCGATAGTGAACAAGTTTCGGTTAGTACAGGGTGATTCACCATAAATGTCCCCCCCTCTAGCTCACTTATTCTTGAACCGATTTAAAAATTCGAAAATTATCTGGAATGATTTTTTAGAATTTTATTTCCCGTTGCATCAGAAAATACAGGGTGCTCGGAACAAACGATCTACAGAGTACTACTTGATTTTTTCGAAAGGAACACCCTGTATTCAATGTATTTTTAGATTCTCCCTGAAGAGCTGATTTCATCAATGCATCCTACTTGAGGTCTAGCGGGAATGATTACAGAGATATAGGGTGTTCAAAGTCGAGATTTTTCAACTCTAGGATTTTTTTGAGTCGAAACTATTCATTATTGGTCAAATCGGCTTCGATTTCCCTATCTCAACTTCTGATTCACTATCTACTGACATTCAATTGGAACATATACAGTGTGGTTCAAGATTCAGAATTCTGATCACCCTGTATCTGTTCCAATTATTAAATGTCAGTAGATAGTAAATCAAAAGTTAAGATACGGACATGAAAGCCGTTTTGACCGAAAATGATTTTCGCCAGACCCCAAGCGTGATGCATTGATGAAATCAGCTCTTCAGGGAGAATCTAAAAATACAATGAAAAGTAGGGTGTTCCTTTTAAAAAAAATCAAATAGTACCCTGTAGATCGTTTGTTCCGAGCACCTTGTATTTTCTGATGTAGCGGAAAAAAACTCTATCGAAAATAATGAAATCGAATTTTTCACTGAAACAGACCCATTAAGTGAAAATATGGGATTACCATTAACTTTTTTAAAATTTTTGGAAAACCCCCTTCGACCTCAATTCTCAAAATTCCAAGTGCTGATACCATAAAATGGACTTTTTAATAATGCCGAAAAAGTGTATTTCATTTGGTATTCAGGCTTCTCGGGATTCGTAGGAAGAGAAAAGAACGCCGGGGCCAATGGAACCGAATAAACTCAACTCCATCAAAGTCCAATGTCGAGGATAGGCCAACGACATTTTGGAAGGCCTAGGTCAGTGACAAGGGCAAATCCACCGAAATTCTTCGTCCGATCTGGCCTTATAGAACCGGTCCAATAGGATCGTAACTGCTTTTCGAAACGTCTGAACACTATTTGGGCATTACACACAGCGGCGGATCCAGGGGGGGCATCAGGGGCAATTACTACTGAGCTCTGGTAGCCAGGTCACCTCACGTGTGAAAGTCTCATATTAGATACCCTCGTGGACGATGACCGACCCTGGAGGTAGAATATTGAAACACAACCTCACTTTTCTGAATAACATTGAAACACAACCTCATCAAATGATTGAAATAGGTTTTCACTATATTTTGCCATACGAATCGCTTTTTTTGCACTATTCGAGAGACGAGAAATATGATTTTTTGGGTAAATAGTAATCTCACATAGTTTTCATTATGAAATTTTGTCATTTCTTATCAAAATTCCTTCTGCCACTTCTGCGATAGAAGCTAATACTGCTAATAGATTGAAAATGTATACAACACACACGATCATATTTAGTCAGCATGTCAGACGAGCAGTCCTCCCGTTTGATTGCATGCATCCAATCTTCTTGCATTCTTTTAAAAATTTCACCAGTATTTTCTATTAGCTCCTATTGCAGAAGGAATTCGGATGAGAAATAAGAGAAACTACCAAATTTCAAAATGAAAACTATATGTGAGTGACAGTGACTATAGTAGGTACTTACTTTTAAATCATAATTTACCAACCGGATTCCTTCATCTCTCGGTGTATTTTTTGTGCAGCACAATGTGATGGCATGCGCGAATTGATGAATAGCCGAAAAACACGGTTCGTGTGCCAAAATAATTGTGAAAAACTATTTCAATCATTTGTAAACAAATAAGAAGAGTGAGGTTGTGTTCCAATGTTTCACCTCCAGAGTCGGTCATCTGACAGTTCTTGCACGTAACCCATTACAAAAACCAACATTGGATTCAAAAACAGGATCTGACGCAGTGAATGACAATTCATGTCAACTGGACTGGAAGAAAGATGAGAACATTGTGATAGATATTTTATTTACAACCATATATGTAATGTTGTCATTACTAACGTCATTGAAGGTTGATAAGTAGTGTCACATTACACACCTTTACTTTCCGCCCTCACTTCCCGCCCCTCACTCATTTAATAATTCAGGTATGTTCAGAACGAAACATAGATTCATTAATTTTGATCGAAATATGATGGTTGTAAATGAAATAGTATACAAACCTCGGTAGGAAGTTTCATTCCTGTCTCGAAATAATACCTAACCTCGACGCTTTGCGTCTCGGTTAACTAACTAATCTCACGACAGAAATTAATCACTTTCCACCTCGGTGTGTAATATGCTATTTTGGAGTATAAAACAGTTATATCTACTGCTCCTGATTTACAGATTGATCTAAAACTAGCACGTCGAATCCAGTCTAAGCGGAAGACAAATTCAATAGAAAAGTTATTGGTGAATAAGGAAGGAAGATCATTATAGATATTATACCATTATTGGTGATAAATGACATGGAGAGTAGATTTCTTCATGAGACGTTGGAATGTTATGATATGCGACTCATTTTACCTAGTCACTGTAAAATTTGTATATCGCTACTTCAAAGTTGAGAGCCAACTCCCCAAAAGTCGAAACTTGTGCGGGGTGAGGAAGAGCGGGACCTACAGCTTATAGTGGAATCAGAACCACTTCTAGAGCATCGAGGTGCTGCCAGGATCATAACCATGAATCACACATTTTAAAGAAAAATGCTCAGCCGATAGCCGGATTCGAACTACAGTACCTTCGCATCGTGAACGGCTATCTAGCGAATTTCAGCGCATAGACAAACTGGGCCACGGCGCCCCACTGGATCGTATTACCATCGTCCACCATATTGGTGGACGATGGTATTACCATGTATTACTTATTAGATAAGAGTTCGGACACAGCTGAACATTTGTCCTTTTCTATTTTCTACATTACAATTGTTGTAATGAATTAAATAATAAGACATATATGTTAGAGGTTCAATTTTCTGTCAAATCAATCATGGTCGTAGATGGAAAATAGGAATAGGGTATAAACACCCACTTCAATTTATAGCGTCACGCCACTTTTAGCAGAACAACAGTTATGAAAATGAGAAGAATGCATGTAAGAATATTATAATTCAATATGACATATATGGATATATACTTATAGCTAATTAGTTCGGTATTGAAAGCGCCATTAAATGATTACACCACGACGATGCGATTTACTCAGTTTTGTACTCAAATTTCAAACTTCATTACGTTCCATTAATGGATTTTTTTAATAGTTCATTTTGTAAATGGATGGAACAGCTGATTATCTCAAACGAATCTTGTAATCTTTTGTTTGAAAATGGGCCTGAAATATTAGTTTCAATATAATCTGCTTTTATGAGAAGTGATTTTAATGTATGCACCTCACAAATGCGTGTCTTCAAATTAATTTTTCCTACGACCACCTATGAAAACAGCACAAAACACATTGATTTGTTGTTGAGAAAGTGACTCGTTTCACTATGACAACATATAACAGTTAGAAAATTCGAAAGTAAAACTCACATGAGTGGAAATATTCGAAAATCGCACAGTAACAGGGTCTATAGATTATGATGTACCAATGAATGATTATTATGCTGAATTATGGTGAGTTAAGGTATGGTCAAGTTAATGGAAAGTTAGTGTCGATTTAAGATGAGTTATTGTCGTTAATGTTGACGTAATGTTAAGTTGATGAAAAGTCGAAAAACTTCTCGCCTACGGTTCGAAAGTTTTGATGAACAATGTCATTCGCGAAATTAGTATGTGGCGTTCACATAAAAAATTTTTACGTTTCGCTTTTTACGTTTCGTATTCTGGTTGGTAAAGCAAAATCTAGAATTAAAATGACGCAGAAAGCTGAAAATATTCAGCTTTTTTGCGTTGCAAGATGTCATTGTCTGTGAAAATGTTAAAAAGAGTCAAATGATATTGTTATAAAAAGGAAAATACTACCTACTGTAAGTTCTGATTCGGATAGAACAAAAAATGTTTATGGAACGATCCATATTATGGAAGTTATGATAATATTTTTGTCCATGATTTTTTTGTGAATCCAGGGAATAGTAAATAGGTATACTGTTCAATTTTATTATTTTCTTCATGAGGATTGATTTTTCTCTTCAAGTATTGAATAATAAGGATTAGTTTATATCTCCGCCAGTTGTATGGATATTATTAATTATCTAATCAATATTATTGTTATGATTATTTCACTTTATTTCAGGATGTAGCACAAATGACAATACCAAGGCAACTGAGAAAAGCCGTAAAAACTCACGTTGATTTTTTTTTGTTGGGAATGACATTTGCATAAGTTCAATTTACGTTTAATTCCAGATACTGCTTCACCAATCAGAATACGAAACGTAAAAAGCAAAACGTAAAATGTTTGGTTGTGAACGTTTCTTTAGGCATCAAGCTGTAGAAATATCATAATACTGACAAACATTTTTTTTAATTGAACACCCTGTATCACGGAAAAAAAGCAAATTTCGGACCCATGATCACATAAACTTTTTGTCATATTCTGTAAAGAGGAATCTCCCCTCTGCTTCTGTCACCATAACTCTGAAACATCCTGTATGCGTCAATTCCAGGTATCGTCTTCTCCGACGGCCAGCTGTGGAAGAACCAGCGCAAATTCTCGCTGCAGCACCTGCGCAGCTTCGGCTTCGGACGCAGGGAGATGGAGGAGAAGATCCAGGAGGAGACGCGATCGCTGATCGAGATCTTCAAGGGCAGCGCCGGAGAGGCCATCTTCATGCACAAAGCCTTCGACATTTCCGTGCTGAACGCCCTGTGGGCCATGATGGCAGGCGAAAGGTACGAGAAGAAATACTCTGGAGTCTAGCCATAGCACCATAGCGAGGTAATATTGGGCTTGGCTCGCTGCTCGCTGACCGCGGTAATGTCACTCGCCAGTCGTTCAAATTGTAGCTTGCTGTTGTGCTGCGCTGTATGGAAGCGGCTCAGAATAACCCCCCATGGTAGATTGTAGATTGTAGATTGTAGATGGGTCGTATAGGCTGGGAGACCTCGATCACTGCGACCTAGAAGATCTATTGTGATTACCCCTATCTAGTTTTGGTCCTCTAACCCTAGACTTCTGATCAAGCCTACGATTTTCCTGACGGTTGAATTTTCCACTTCAGTAGGGGGTGAGATAGACCTGTTCTAGGTGGTTCAGCCTTTGGCGGACTAATACTTCACATGAGCAAAAAATGTGTTCCGCGGTTTCGGTCGCATTGTAACAAAAGCGGCAAGTGTCAGTCTCCGCCAGGCCCATCTTTTTGAGGTGGTACCTCAGAGGGCCGTGTCCTGTGGGAAAGCTTGTGATAAGCTCTAGCTCTGGTTTGCTGAGGCTGAGTAGCTCTTTGGCTCGGTTCTGCGAATGGTTGATGAACCTTTTCGCTTGTCGTTGACCTGGAGTTGCTCTCCAGTAGAAGGACTTTTCAATTTCTTCCCATTTCCTGAGTTCTTCCTTCAGGTGACATTTGCTTATCCCACAAAAAGGCTCAGGACCAAAAAGTGCAGATGCGGCACCTGTTTTTGCAAGGCGATCAGTTGCCTCATTTCCTTTGATTCCTTCATGCCCTGGAACCCACATAAGTGTGACTTTGTTGCCCTTCCCCCCCTTCCATGGTAAATCCTGCCTATCGTGAAAGGCGACTAAAAGGATAACTTTAGGTGGTAGATGGTCTCATCGTCCGGTGAAATACCATCATATCGACTTTGTGTGCTGTGAAATGGTTCACTCCATGTTTCAGTGTTCGGTCGATACTTTCCGGTCTCCCCCACCCTTTTCCCCAACTTCTCTTCTCTATGAATAAAGTTGATGGAGTCTCCTAGAGTAAAACACTCCGGAAGTAAAATACCTCTCCATTCGGATTTCCGGGCGAGAGGTACTCGAGGGGACTCATCTCTGAAGATTAATTTTTGCAACATCCGCGGACTGAACAAAAACATAAGTGACGTCCACCATCATCTACAAACGGAAAAACCAGATATTCTGGCACTAACAGAAACTCAAGTGAACTCGACCACCAACAAGGTCCACATGCTCTGTCCTGGTTACGAACTCCATTCTCGAAAGACTTTGACGTGATGTGGTTCAAGCTAGTCGATACCAAACTGACCAAATGTATCTGCTGCCTTTACCTATCGCCTAATGATAATGAATATAACAACCTCTTTGAGTTTTTATCACTCAAACTGGACTTCATACAGGAAAACCATCCAACAGCTGAAATCATAATCATGGGAGACTTCAATGTACACAACGCAGTCTGGCTCAAATTCTCTGACAAAACAGATAAGGCAGGTCGTCAAACTGAGGCCTTCGCCATCACTCATGGTCTAGAACAACTAGTCGAACTACCAACCCGCATTTCAGATGTCAACAACCAGTCTGCCAATACACTAGATGCTTTTCTCACCAGCAATCCTGATCCATATAGAATAGAAGTTTGTGCCCCACTTGGAAACTCTGACCACGCCCTCATCTCCACAACCTGCTTTTTCCATGTATCATTCAGCACCACAATGCCTACCCGTCCCATGTGGCATTACAATTCAGCCGACTGGGAAGGTCTTCGTATGTTTTTTTCAGCGTTTCCATGAAAGAGAGTTTGTTTTCCCTCAGCAGATCCAACACGATGTGCTGAGACAATTTCTGAAATCATCATGTTGGGGATGCAGAAAAATCCAGGCCCTGAGACTAGAGCAGAATATGTCGATGCTAGAGGCATATGCAATGAGACAATTTGATCATCAAAAGATGCTCATAATGCCAAAATAAGATAAGAAGGGCCAACCAGTATGGCCATGTATGGGCATCTCGGAACCTACGGTAGATACAGATTTGGTTAGATTGGGGAAAAATTGCGCGAGTGAAGAAACAACAAAATTACTTTCAGAAATCTCTGATATGGCTTTTCGTTTTTGAGTTATTTCCAAAATACAGAATTTTTATATTTCCAATTTTTTTTCTGGCGTCCATAATGAAGTTCTGACCCAACTGTAAAATCATCTTCATGGCAACTTTTGGTGCTCTTTAATTCGACATCCACGATTTTCTGATTCAACGTTTCGTCTTCGAGTACCCATCATCAACTTCATTTTTTCAAATACCTTGATATTTGGATATCAGATTCGAATAGCTCTTCCATTCTGATTTCGACAATATGCTACATATCGTGATTTTTGCTGCGTTTCGAGCTAATTTTGGCCATCATCAAGTAATTTTTGGAATACGGACCTGAATTTCTCTAATTATGTGAAAAAGTTATTTGAATTTACTCCAAAATTATATGAGGGAAGCCCTGGACTATTTGACACTGGCGGAAGATCATGACTGTTGGTTCAAACAGGATGGTGTACCTGCACATGATTCGAGAGATGCTAGAGATTATCTCAGATTCACAGGAAGAGTGACTAAAACGTACTTTGAAGTGCCCTGGCCAGCTCGCTCACCCGATGTGACCCCGCCAGACTCCTTTATCTGGGAATATGTCAAGAGCTATGTTTATGAGCGAGCCTTGGGAACAGAAGAAGAACTCAGAATACCGGTTCATAAAACATTTTAGAGTTGGTTGGTATGAGTAATATCAAAAATTCATCAGTAAATAATTGTTATGCAGGCTTAGGAAGGATCTCTTATGTATTCATTAGTTTCGTATCTAATAGTTTTGACGTTCAAGGAATTTTTTTGATGCGTATTGATGTTGATGTAGCATTGTTGGATGTTCAATCTGATAAATATTCCTTTTTCCACCGAATTATTGAAAATGCAGGTCCGTATTCCAAAATCTACCCGAGGATAACCAAATTAAGCTCGAATCGCATCAAAACCACAATATGTAGCATATCGTTGAAATCAGAATGGAAAGCCCATACTGTATTTAAAAAAATAAGCTGATGATTGTTACTGCTCAAAGACAAACGTTGTATCAGAAAATCGATGATACCAAATCGGAAAGCATCAAAAGTGGCCATGAATATGGTTTTTCAGTTTTGTCATAATGAAGTTATAAGGCTGAGAAGCTCCTTGGCTCTGTTTTGCGAATGTTGATGAACGATTTCGCTTGTCGTTGACCTGGAGTTACTCGCCAGTTGGTTAACTTTTCAGTCTTTTTCTCATTTCTCGAGCTCCGCCGTAAGGTGACATTTACTTGCACCCCAGCCTTATTATTTCCTTTGATTCCTTCATACTCTGGAAGCCACATAAGTGTGACTGTCTTTTCCCAGTTGCATCAGTGATTTCAATCAATTCCCAACCCTTACGTCAGAAAATGATTTCGTCAGAGCCTCCTGGCCTACTTCTATGGGTGGTTAACGTCCTATCATGTGGGGTCATAATTATCCCGAACGATCTGTTCGACTATTGTTCGCAATTTGCATGAACCAAGGGGTGAAAAATCGGAAAAAATTGACTACAGGTGCTTCTGCTATAGGTTTGACATCGAGGATGCCCGGCTGAAGAAGCTACTGCAAATTATTCACGACGCTTTCCGCTTGGTAGATATATCAGGAGGTCTGCTGAACCAGATGCCCTTCTTGAGACACATCGCTCCAGACGCCATCGGGTACACTTTGAATAAGGAGATCTTGGAGAGAATGTGGGCCTTCCTTGCGGTGAGTTTCATTTGACACAAATCGAAGTGAACGTAAATCATTCTTCAATTCGGACGATATTTCAGGAAACCATATCCGAACACAGGAAGACAGTGACACTATCACAGCAACCTCGAGACCTCATAGATGCATTTTTGCAAAAAATGGATATTAAGAACGACGACAGCTTCACAGGTGCTATACTTTGTTACATGTCATGAAATATGCATTGCTAAGGTACATATGATAATACCGATATTTTTCACTTTTGTAGACGATCAACTGATGTCTTTGTGCCTTGACCTCTTCATGGCTGGTGCAGAAACTACCAGTAATATGTTGGGGTTTGCCATTTTGGTTATGGTTTTATATCCGGAAATCCAGAAAAAAGTACAGAACGAGCTGGATCTAGAAGTAGGAAGAAATAGATGGCCTTGTTTGAGTGATAGAATAAGGTAGGTAACTACAAAACAAATGTAGATAAAGAACTTGAATTAATCAACTTCTCCTTCCTTTGACCGTTCGATAAATACAATGTTTTTACATGTCTTTGGGACATTTCATTTTCACTGAACTATAATGATTGCAATATATTGCTAGTGGTGGATAACATTCAATATACTGAAGAAGCTAGCAAAGCCACTTTCGATTTTCAACATGAGACACATCTCATAATTTTAGGCTCATTTTAGGCTAATTCATTACCCCATTCCCGAATTTGTTGCTTCTCTCTATCATAGAAAAATCTGTGGCTTTGCTAGCTTCGGCTGAACTCAGCAAAGCCATTTTTGAAAAACAATATTTTTGGATGATCTGATGTAGTGAAAATGTAGTTCTCATTTTAGGCTAATTTATTACCCTATTCCCAATTATCTTGCTCCTCTCTATCATAAAAAAACTGTGGCTTTGCTAACTTCGGCCGAACTCAGAAGAGCCATTTTTGAAATCATTGATTTTTCACCGATTTCATATATTTGATCTCAAATTTTAGGCTAATAAATCACCTTATTTTCGAATTTTTTGCTCACCATTTCAAACTGAAAAAATACGAGACGATTTGTCGATATACGCGTCAACCACTGTATATTATGTATTTATATCGAAAGCATATTTTATGACGATTTCATGAGGCAAAGTGTATATCGATAGTAAGTTCAATAACTATCCCATTTTGGAATTGTTTGCTAAATATTTTTTTAAAGAAACGTATGGCTTTGTTGGCTTCGGAAGAACTCAGCAGAGCCATTTTTGAAAAGGTTATATTTTCTTCCGATTCGATACATTGGGATATTGTTCAACTTATAATAGAACAAAAAAAAACACGAAATGATTCGCCGATATATGCGTTATTCACTATACATCATGCATTTCTATCAAAAGCATATTTCATGACGATTTTATAAGGCAAAGTGTTAGTATTGATTGTTAGCTCAATAACCATCCCATTTTGGAATTTTTTGCTGCATATTTTTTTAAAGAAACCTGTGGCTTTGCTAGCTTCGGGCGAACTCAGCAAACCCATTTTCGAAAAGGTTTTATTTTTTTCCGATTCGATACATTGGGATTTCTAGACTAATTTCAGGCTGATAAATTACCCAAGTCTCGAATTTTTTGCTCAACTTTTTGAACAAAAAAAAAACACGATACGATTCGTCGATATATGCGTTATTCACTATAAATCATGCATTTCTATCAAAAGTATATTTTATGACGATTTTATAAGGCAAAGTGTTAGTATTGATCCCATATTAGCATTTTTTGCTGCATATTTTTTGAAAGAAACCTGTGGCTTTGCTAGATTTCGGCGAATCTCAATGTATATGCTCTTGATAGAAATGCATGATGTATAGTGAATAACGCATATATCGACGAATCGTTTCGTGTTTTTTTTGCTCGAAAAGTTGAGCAAAAAATTCGAGACTAGGTTAATCAATTAGCCTAAAATCCGCCTAGAAATCCCAATGTATCGAATCGGAAAAAATATTACCTCTTCAAAAATGGCTCTGCTGAGTTCGGCCATTTCGGCCAAAGCTCTAGCAAAGCCACAGATTTTTCTATGATAGAGAGGAGCAAGAACATTCGGGAATGGGGTGATAAATTAGCCTAAAATGAGCCCAAAATTATGAAATGTGTCTCATGTTGAAAATCGAAAGTGGTTTTGCTAGCTTCTTTAGCATAAGAGTGAAGAATATTGCCACGGCACCTTATATCCCTCGGCTAGCGCCTCGGTATATAATCTTGGTCCCTGGGTAATAATGATTCTTTCTCTACGACTATCGTATTCTACATTGATTACATATAGGTTAGTAATTGATGAATGAAGATGATTCCAAGGCACTGTGGATCCCAACTCATTATTCAACGGCACTCGACCAATCACAGATTCAGAATTTTCAGGATCCACAGCAACTGAAAAGGTTAGACCAGCAAAACAACAAAACCAATTTCTCAAGAAGGCTCTGCTTCATTTTACGGGTCACGTCACGGCTTGACTTTCGCGAATGTCAGATTGACTTATAGAGTCTATTGAGTTTTAACTTTGATATCTGGAGGATAAAATGGAGGCTTGCCGTTCCATAAAAATGTACTCTATGAATATTGAAGATATTCAAGATCTTGGATCTCCATGGATGATAACTATTCCTGAGAACAAAACAAAAATTGTAAGGAGGTTCACTGAAACCGGGAAATTTTATTAATTTTGTAAAAAGTACATTGATATACGAGCAGCAAATGTTGGGATTTCCAATTTTTTCATGAATTACCAAAAAGGAAAATGTACTCTTTATAAAATTGGAATTAATTAGTTTGCAGCAATGGGAAAACAAATAGTTTTGCGCAAGCAATTTTTGAAGCTACCAAATCCCGAGATGTACACCAGGCATTGCTTTGCTTGTCAATGCAGGTGAAGGTATAACAGCATTGAAAAAACATGGTGGCTGGAAGAGCACATCGGTGGCAGAAGGATTTCTAGAAGATTCCATGTTGAATAAAAAAATAACGGCAGATTCGAATTCTTCAATGAATCGAACAATGTTCATCATCATCGAATAACAGTTCCTTCACACAAAAAAACATCAACTAGCAATATGAATAAAAATGTCAGTGTTGATTAAAATGCAACAACAACAGTAAAATTTCACGAATTGTGAGAATATCACTAAGAATTTGGTCACTAAGTACGAGAAACATAATTTACTGACCTAATAATTATTGTGTTGTTTCATCATTGAGTTCGTTGAATATTAAAAATTCCTGTCAATTGTATCATCATATCATTAAAATTCATACATCAAGTATATTATTTTCATAAATAATAATTAGATTACATTAAATTTCTGACTATCGTATAGTCGTAGAGAAAGTATAGTCTTCTACTCGCGTATAATAGCTATTATTCTCTCGGATAATTCCGAAACTCGCCTACGGCTCGTTTCGGAATCATATCCTCGGGAATAATAGCTATCATTATACGCTCGTTGAAGAATATACTATTACTAAATATATAATAGTGAATAACTATTTTCAACTCGTCAAACTCTGACAGCTCCTTCTTTTCCTTTAAATTCGTCACCACACGCATCTGTAGGTGTAGGGAGAAGGCATCAAACATTGTTATTTTTTCAGACTGAAATACACCGAAGCTGTCCTCATGGAACTACAGCGCAGAGTAACAGTCGCCCCTTTGGGCATAGCACATAGAGCAGTAAGAGACACCGAACTTTACGGGTATAACATTCCCCGGGACACCATAATCCTGACGAATTTGTACAGCGTCCACATGGACAAACATTACTGGAAGGATCCCATGGAATTCCGCCCAGAGAGATTCTTGAACGAGAAAGGGGACCTGGTGGTTAACGAGAAACATTACGTGCCGTTTGGTGGAGGTAATTTCAGGTTATGTAGTACCTACGAGCCATTTAGCCAATCCAACCATAGTGGTAGTTGGCATCATAGCACTGTAGAGAACGTTTATTGAGACTCGTCAGTTATGTTTACCTTGAAAGAGAGGTGCCTGGAAACTTTAACTAAAGTTTCAGAAGATCATATGTAATACCACTATTTTGCGGAAATACTCGGCGATTATTACGACGGCTTGTTGGCTAATGAATCTGCGAATGACATTATTTATCAAAACTTTCGAGCCGTGAGAAGTCTTGGATCCGTTTCTTCGCTGGGATTCATGTCAAAGAGAAATTGAAGCAGCAAGCTGTCGATCGAGGGATAGTTCCAGGAAAAATTGTATCACGAGTTGTATTCGTATGAATATTTCATGATTGAGACAATAAACGAGCGCCTCGCGAGAGTTGCGCACACTGCATCCATCATTCTGGCTTCCAACATGACTGACGTTTTGAATGTGAAAACTTTTATCGCTGTGTGAGTCAATTCGGCTTCTGTATTGGCAGAGCAAGTCCAAAAAAATATTTGATTGTTGATTCTGATTGGTAATCGAGAACAAGAGTGGAATAGTCACTGAATGACTGTCACTGAGATTTTTATAATGCAATTATGAAATCAATCATAATTACGGAACTTCTAGTGAATAGCTTTTTGAGGCCTTATAGTCTCGTAACTGAAACTGCTAGTGAGGAAAATAAAATCTATAAATAAAATGAGTGAATAGTATATTGTTTAACGAGCACGGAATGCTACAAATCATATGAGTGGGAAATCAGCATTCCGTGCGAGTTATACAATATACTTTTTCTACGGATGTAACAGATAACAGCGAGATTCTTGATTTCTTCGCCTTGTAGCCATCTGATTTTTCTCTTAGGTAATGCTCATCTATTAGACAGAGTTGTCATTGCTTGATATTTCGAGGGAAATGAGATTTTGTGAAATAATAATACAATGAAGTGTCATTGTGATATGAGATACGGAAATAAAATTGATGACATACAAAGTACCTCATTGATTTATCGAAAAAAGAAAAGCAAGAGCAATTTTGTGTAATAGCCGTTAAATAATGCGATTTCTGTATATATTTTTTACAAGTATGAATACGGAATATCTTGAGGAGGCTTAGCCTCCGTTAGCCTTCAATGCCTCCGATCAGTGTTACCGTACACACTGTATAAAAACCCTATATGTGATATATTTTTGAATTCAGCTTTTTATAGAGATTCCACAAATTGAATAATATAAAGGGTGTTCCATTCGAAAAAATTGTCGCGGACGTCATAACTCAAACGTGAATCACCTGTATATTTTCTCGTATGAACATAGCAAATCGCTATTGAAAATTGAAAATTGACCTATTTTCGGAGATTCCTCAGAAAAGGATATAGTTGGGCTAAAAATGAATTAATTCAGTACTTACTGAGACGTGAGATCTGAGTAGGTAGAACTGACTAGTATACTTCTTTTTAGTGTCATCTGGCCTCTTCCTCTGTCAAAAACGCAAGACTGATCAATTTCAACGTATTTTAACAATGACTCAAGTTTTTCCATTTGTTTACATAGGCCATATCATGTTTTCAGGAATAGTTTTGATGAAACAGGCCACAGTCCCTTCAGGGCTATCTAGCAAAATTTTGGGACTGCCAACTCTGACATAGGTGTAGGTACCTACAACTCAAGCTCTAGCAACAGTGAGGCTGAAAATTTTCACGAAAAAGCACGATTGATTGTGAAAAATAATGACCGCCATATTGGTTTTGTTTGACAAGTTATTGTTGGATTGGATAATAGGCGCTCTTGAGTTAGGAAACGAGTATAACATAACAATCTATGACATAAGTGATTCTATATTTGTTTCATGCTTTTTTTTTTAAGGAAAGAGGCGTTGCTTGGGAGAGACACTTGGCAAAGCTAATATCTTCATGTTTTTCTCTACCGTTCTCCACAATTTCCATGTGGAGAAAGCTGACGACGTTGAACTCAAATTGGAAGGTTATGATGGAGTGACTATGGCTCCCAAACCGTTCAGAGTTAGATTGATAGCGAGAAAAGACTGAAAAAGATATTATTATTAATTACCTATAATATACCTATATTTAAAGATACTATATTAATTGTTTAGGTTTAGTACCATTGAGTTTCTGATTATTTTGTAGCAAATATGTCAATAAATTATTCTGGAATATATCTTTCGCTATATCGTCTTTATGAGAATTTCTTCGAAATTCAGGTATAGTCTCTTCTTTCTTTACAAAATCAATTTCGGCAGGTCTAGCAAAATAGTGATTTACGTAACAAGTCCGGAAAATACTGTGTTTTTGGACGTGTTGCGTGCACTAATTTTAGCAGGTCTAGCAAAAAGTGATTTACGTAACAAGTCCGGAAAATACTGTTTTTTTGGACGAGTAGACAAAAAAACTGTTTTTGGGCGTGTTGCGTGCACTTTTTTTTCGGCAACCATGTAGAATAACAAATCAATAAGATACATTTCCATATTATATTTCTTTGTAGAATACAATTTATTCTTTATTAATTCTCATTTGTATCAAATACTGAAATTTGAACAGAATACCTATACCTTCTAATTGTTACATTGGAAATTTCGTATGGACGTTTTCGAACTCACTAACGCAGCTGCTTTCGATAGTTTATTGCAATGATTGCAACCAAACTTTCAAAGATCAAAATGTCAACTAATTTCATGTCAAATAGCTGTCAGCCGATATTTCGCTGCTATGGTAATTACCATCTGCATTCATCAAAACAATATCTACCAAGATTTTCATAGTGACAATAACAACGATATGATACTTTCTCAAAGAAAAAGGGAGCGCACGAAAGGAAATCCCTATAATATTCAAAGAACATCGTGCGTTCCTAGGGAGGATAGGGACAGGAGGTATAGGTACTGGAATTTTTTTTAACTTTTGGAGATTATATGTTGTTGGGAATACTTCCACAGGCAATGAATTCCAGAGCCTAGCCGTTCTATGGATGAAGGAGTTTTGATAAAGTGCTGTTCGACATCTTTCGAGGTTGACAACGAAAGGATGTGCTGACTGGGATTGTCTAGTTCGTCTGACTGGTATTGCTAGTGGAGGGATGATAGCAGAGATTTCCGAATAACATTTCCCGTGGAAGTATCGATAGAAAAGTGAAAGGTCGCCGACCTCTCTACGGTGTTCCAATGATGTCAAAGAGTGAGTGAGTGTGGCGTTACCCACCAGGTGAATGGCTCTTCTCTGGATGGAATCTAATAGCATCAGCGTATGTTTTGGTGCTGAACCCCATATGTGGGAACAGTATTCTAGAACAGGCCGTATCTGCGCTTTGTAGATCATGAGAAGCTGTTGAGGTGTAAAGTAGCTTTTCGCACGGAACAAGAATCCGAGTTTTTGTGAAACAGCTTTTGCGATGGATCTGACATGATTATCCCATGAACGAGTGTTGCTGATGGAAATACCGAGCATAGATATGGTGGGCTTGGTGGGGATGGTGGTGCCAGACATTACAATATCGAGCATACTGAGTTCCGCCTTTCTAGAGAAAATACAGGCTTGAGTTTTGATGGCGTTGAATTCAACTAGGTTGTTGGTTCCCCAGGCTGTGATTTCAGCAAGGTCTTCATTGACAGCATTGACCTGCCTGCGCCGTGAGTTCTTAGTTTCCTGGGAAGAAATGGGAATTTTGGAAGAGAACGCAGTATGGAGGGTACTATCATCTGCAAAGCTGTGGATGGGGCAAGTTGATACTCTCAACAGATCATTGATATGAAGAAGGAATAATGTTGGTGCTTGGTTGATCCTTGTGGAACGCCGGAATTGATACCAATGGTATCAGACGATACACCGTCCACCACCACGTGAAGCGATCTGCCTGAAAGAAAACTCGATAAAAGATGGCATAGCTGAGGTGATAAGCCGTATGGCTACTTGATTGTTTGGGATTTTCTCTCCTCGTTTTTAGCTTTGGACGTTTTGGGAACGAATCTGCTTCCGTTTTCAACATAAATGGGACATGTATTTTATTCCATAGTAGGTCCCAGGTTCGATAGGGTTATTTCAAACGATCAAGAAGATATTTGCTCCTTTCCTTGTCACACTCATTGAGCATATCCCTAATAGCCCGCAACGTCCCCGACAATCCTTCAAATATATCTGCATGAGCGCCCTCAATATGTCTTTTAGGAACATCCGTCGGATATGTTCCAATCGGTACATGAACTGTTATGAATTCGGAAGGAACTCCTATAGATAATCGTCATATGTTCATCTACGTAATGAGTACAAGAATATTGTTCAGGGAATATAATTTCATGAGATGTCATGTGTACAACGTCTAATGGACGCCCCAAGGACGTCTTCAGAATGTCCTGGATACGATTCAGAATGTGTCCTAAGGGACATCCATCGGTGGTATACCTACATTGGCATCAGGACTTCAGATAGACATCCAATATAAATGTCCTTCACGCAAGCGAATGATAATTTTTTCTTCCAATGTCCTAGGAATAACGTCCTACGGACGCCTCAGTCGGTACGTTTAATATATTGTCCCTGTGAGGACGTTAAATTACACCACGCCGACGATAGAGTGCTCGTAGGATATATACCTATACACTCCCGGTCAATGTGTTTACGTAAGTACATTGGACATCCTTGGGAAACATCTTCATGATCTATTTGGGACCTTCTATGAACCATTAACTCAACTGGATGTTCTCATCAGTTATGCATAAAATCTGGTCCTAGGGAGACCCAGATAAATTTGAATTTAAGAATGATTCGTACGTCCCTGGGATATCCTATAGACATCCAATTAATATCCCTCAGCGTTCCTGATGAGTTGTCCTACGGATGTCCTACGAATATCCTACGAATGTCTTACGGATGTCCTCCCCGTAGTGATTGATAAGAAATACTGTAGGATTCAGGTTATCGATAGTTGTCCCAGGGACATCCCTTAAGGACGTCCCTAGTAGGTCCTCGAGTGGTATATTTGTGTGTCCCACAGACATCCAATGGACGTCCACGATACCTAATTCGAACATTCTATGGACGTCCTGAATTTCTCGACGGGAAGTTCTAAGGATGTCCATGGAATATATTTGTGCTATTAGGGATGGAAACTTAGAGCGCGAATATACTCGTTATCGTTTGAAATAACCCTAACAAACCCGTTATATGATAATAATAGTAATAATAATATTATCGTCTTTATTATTTTCTCCCATTTCACATTTGAATAAAAATAAAATATATAACATATTTATCTTTGGAAAAAATTAAAGGCGGAGTTCAATTTCAATAGTGACGAATCACCATGGAGATTGCTTTTCCACTCAATCATTTATTTTCAATAGGTAAGTAAAAAACGTAAATAATATAATCGTTAAATGATATATATAATTAGGGGTGATCTTAAAATCGTTGAATTCGTCATGTAAATCCCTAACCCATTATGGAATGAAACATACAGGGTGTCCCATTTAGAAATCAAAAGTTGGGGTCGTTTCCGGTGGAACCGGAAGTGATTGAACGGAAATGTTCCGTCAAATAATGAGCAATTTGGTATACTTGCTACCCATCAATTTTCGAAATCCGATCTCGAATGATTCAGAAGATACAGCACTGATCGTGTTTTGTGCACCTCTTTGTATGTGCTACGTCTATGGTGAGACGTCTTCAATGATCTATTCCTGGCTAATCAGAAATTTGAAGATATCAGAGGTGTATCAGAGCCTTATCTTCAAATTACTTAACATGCAAATATCAAATAACTATCGTTTCCGGTTTCTTACGGAACGCTCAAACTCGGCAAATTCTTGAAAACTATGGATTAATCTTCAGTGGATTAGTATTCAAAATATTAGTCATTGTAAATGAGTAAAGCCGGATATATGCACGCCGCTTTTCCATTAATCTGTAGTTTCACAATCAGTAACGATTTCACAAAAGAGTTGAAACTTGGTATTTACGCTCAATCATTCATGTTCCCAAATTAATTTTCATCTTCCATTAACTATTCTCTATAGGATGACCAACTTTTATCTCTTAACGACAAATGAAAGTGAAAGTGTGACATACAGACATTTGATTTCTTCTTCTTCTTATTTTTCTGAAATGTGGTTTTTGAATGTTCTGAGAATATTCTATTCGAATATTGGCTGAAATCATAATGTTTTTTTTTATCGCTTGGAGCGCACGAAAGGGATTCCCTATAATGTTCAAAGAACATCGTGCGTTCCTAGGGAGGATAGGGACAGGAGGTAGGTATTGGAATTTTTTTTGAACTTCTGGAGATTATATGTTGTTGGGAATACTTCCACAGGCAATGAATTCCAGAGCCTAGCCTTGATAAAGTGCTGTTCGAAATCTTTCGAGGTTGACAACGAAAGGATGTGCTGACTGGGCTTGTCTAGTTCGTCTGACTGGTATTGCTAGTGAAAGAATGATAGCAGAGATTTCCGAAGAACATTTCCCGTGGAAGTATCGATAGAAAAGGTCGCCGACCTTTCTTCGGTGTTTCAATGATGTCAGAGAGTGAGTGAGTGTGGCGTCACCCACCAGGCGAATGGCTCTTCTATGGATGGGATCTAAGAGCATCAGCGTATGTTTTGGTGCTGAACCCCATATGTGGGAACAGTATTCTAGAACAGGCCGTATCTGCGCTTTGTAGATCATGAGGAGCTGTTGAGGTGTAAAGTAACTTTTCGCACGGAACACTAAGAATCCGAGTTTAATTTAATTTTTGAGAACTTATCACCACCCTGTATATCAAAAGTTAGGACGTTTAGGTCATACGTTCATATGGAACTTTCTTCTTAGAATGGGCTCAAGAATCGGCTTCTCGGATATTGACATTCAATTATGGAACACCCTGTATATATATAATATATGACATTTAAATGTGACTACAGTCCCAGTTTACAAAGCGATCAGTTGAAGGAGGGGCCAAGTAAATTTGTTTATCGTGCATATTGTTACATAGGACAGTGTAAAAATAAGTAGGTATGCTCCAAAGCTCAAACGACGTCGATCATTCGGTGCTTAGTAGACACACGTGACATGTGCACTTTATTTTTAGTTAGTCTCCTTGTTTCTGTAATCGTTTTAGCCCTAACGTATATGGTTAATATCTTCAAGAGGCCGTCGAATTATCCACCAGGTGAGTTTTAGGCAATCACAAGACAAATTATTCATTCCTATTCACTAGAGTTGATGAAAATTAGTCACAGCACTGAATTTTGATTAGCTATAGTTCGCTTATCGAACACCTCTCACATTATTTTTGGATAGATTCAAAAATTTTCCAATTTGGCATTGCGTAACTTTCAAAAGTGCGGAAGAAAATAGAAACCCAGGTAACTCAAAAATTGTCTGGCACTTTTTATTCAGTATGTTTTTGTTAACAGCTGAAGTTGATCTTAACAAAATTTCGACCATAGCTTTCGATTTTTCGGGAATATCAGGAAAGTTGAATGAAAATAATATAGGAAACGCTAAAGTCATATACGAATATATTCACTATATACAGGGTGTCCGCTAAAAGGAGGTCAATCCATTAACCATATATTCCTTGAACAAAAATAATATGAGTTTCTAAATACCATTTTTCATTTTAGCCCTTCATATTCGATATACAGGGTGTCAAAGTTGGAAATTAAAAACTGTTTTTTTTCTAATTACTCGCGTAATTAATAAGATATTAATCTCAAAATTAGTACATTACTTCAGCACAAAGAGTTACATCGTGTGAGGAAGACAAAACAGAAAATAACTGTCAAATATTCAAAATACTGGGGGTCAAGTACACACTTACCCCCATATTTTTCTTGTTCGTGCGCTAATGACTTCTTATCTATTTTTCTTCAAGTGTACAATCATTTTTGAGTATTTTTAGATTTTTGTGAAATTCCGATAAAATTATTTGTTTTTAAGATAATTCGAAAAGTACTGGTTATATATTGTTTCATGCCTCGCGGCTTACGGTAATCTCATAATGTTCACATACTCCTATTTATTTCGTCGAAATTGGAAGAGGGCGTATCTTTTAACGTACGAAAAGGTAAATATGTAAATACCGGGTGTTCAGAGCGAATGTATTGAAATAATTGTTGAATGTACTAAAATAATTTTTACAGAAAAAAAAATTGAAAAATTGTAAAAATTATTTTAATACATTCGCTCTGAGCACCCGGTATTTCCATATTTACCTTTTCGTACGTAAAAAGATACGCCCTCTTCCAATTTCGACGAAATAAATAGGAGTATGTGAACATTATGAGATTACCGTAAGCCGCATAGGCATCAAACAATAACCAGTACTTTTCGAATTATCTTAAAAACAAATTATTTAATCGAAATTTTACAAGACACACAAATTACTCAAAAATGATTGAACACTTGAAGGAAAATAGATAGGAAGTCATTAGCGCACGTACAAAAAAAATATGGGAGTAAGTGTGTACTTGACCCCCAGTATTTTGAATATTTGACAGTTATTTCCTGTTATGTTTTCCTCACACGATGTAACTCTTTGTGCTGAAGTAATGTACCAATTTTGAGATTAATATCTTATCAAATACGCGAGTAATTAGAAAAAAACAGTTTTTAATTTCCAACTTTGACACCCTGTATATCGAATATGATGGGCTAAAATGAAAACTGGTATTTAGAAACTCATATTGTTTTTGTTCAAGGAATATATGGTTAATGGATTGACCTCCTTTTAGCGGACACCCTGTATAACACTCTCATCGAATATTTTAATCATTTTAATCAAGAATTCTCAGTCATAGAGTGTTTAACATACGTTGAAGGTTATATTATTTAGGGAGAGAAAATTTAACTGGAATGGATATATCTTCTTAATTAACTAAGATTGTAATCGAAAATAAACTGCTCAACAATCGAAACATGAAATCGAAATTTTGATTCATCATAAAAACTGTCGACTGCTCTGACCGAATTTGAATTTCTCTTCCAGTTTCTGAATGTTCGTTTCAGTGACTAGGTATCAAACCTATGGAAATGACTATTGCATCTCTTCAGAATGAATCATTTTTTCCCATCAGAATGAAATATAATGTATATATATGAAATTTTCAAAAATGCTGCAAAATCACTCATCAAGTTCACTTCAACACGACATGTCGCAGCGACAATGGCTGCTTAAGAAAATGTAATCTGTATTTCACCCCATTTCGAGGAACAAATTCTAATATGTTTGTACCGTATTCAATCTACCCTCTCATTACTAGTGATTCACACGAGACTAACGAGACGAGACTCTCAAAAAGTCTCGTCTCGTCTCGCCGATAAAATATGAAGTCTTGTCTCGAGTCTCGTCTCGCAGCCTCCAGTCTCGTCTTGTCTCGCGTCTCGTACGAGAGTCTCGCAGATGTATCGCAATTACGTCATGCATAATCTTGTTGGTTGTGGTTTAATGTACAAGTAGGAAGACAAAATTACAACAAAAATAACATTATTATTTATTGAAAAGTAAGTACCTCATACATACTTTTACATCATACATCTAAAAAAAAAAAAACTGAAGTAGCCGGTATGCTTAAGAGATCTCGTGTCATCAAACTTAGAATGGGAAATTCAGAAGCATGAATTTTTCACCATTGCAATATATCTGTGTTTTTATTACACCGAGCAGAGATTATACACTAATCTCTGCACCGAGGCACAGAATAATATTTTTGAAGCTCCTGCATCCATACTCCCGTCAAAACAAAGTTATTCTTTATCTAAGACTATTTAGCACAGAATGACTTATTTATAGATTTTCAGGTAGTCATTCAATTTGCGATCTGTCGTTATTGCAGAATTGCCTTTATTTTCCGCCGCCATAAGAGATCATGGATTGTATTTTTAAAGTATTTATGAATGAAATTTTTTGTCTATCTGTGCTGAATAGTCTGAATTCTTTCCAAATATGTTGTGTTATGAATGAAATTCTCAAGTATGCAGTCGGCACGCAGAAATATTTACCTGCGAGACTCTCGCACGAGACACGAGAAGTCTTGCACGAGAATCGAGACGAGACCAATGAAATTCTCGTCTCGTCTTGTCCGAGTCTCGTCTCGAGTCTTGTCTCGAAAACGAGACGAGACCATGCGAGACTCTCGAAAACGAGACTCTCGCGGGCACCACTACTCATTACTGTAGAGCTTCTACCAGCAAGTTTTACCTTGAACCAATATTTAGATCATACTCTGAAGTTTATGAAATTTACAAAAATGAAGTTGAAAGCCCTACTGGTAAAGATGTTTTCGTGTCAGAAATGAAGAAATTGAACATTGATATCTATCAGCCACGTAAGGATCAATGTGATCTCTGTTTTTCGCATAAATTGGCCCAGATTGATAATGATATTTATGACAAACACATTGAAGAAAAAAATAAGGCAAGGAAAGAGAAGGAGAAGGATAAAGAGGATGCTATTTCCGAAACCTTGAGTTTATTCACGGTTGATGTTCAAGCTGTACAGCTTGTACCACAATTGCACGCAAGCATGCTTTATTTCAAGCAAAAATTAGCATGTCATAACTTCACGATTTATAACGTAGCAACAAAGGCCGTGGTTTGTTATGTCTGGCATGAGGGTGAGGGAGGCATGGAAAGCAACTGCTTTGCAACATGTTTGATCGACTTTCTGGATAACGAAATATCTCAGGAAGCGAAATATCTCAAGAAGCGAAAAATAGGCCCATAATATTTTATAGCGATGGATGCTCAGCCCAGAACCGGAACGCTTTATTATCCAATGTGCTGCTGAATTATTCTATCCGCAATGAGACAGATATTATACAAAAATATTTGGTTAAAGGGCACTCCCAAATTCAGTGTGTTAGTGTTCACTCAACTATTGAAGCGAGAAAGAAAAACAGGGAAATTTATTCCCCATCCAATTACGTTCAGATAATAGAAGACTCAAGACGTCATTCCAAAGCAGGTCCATACAAGGTAAAATACGTTGATCACACATTTTTCCTAAACTTCTCTAGTCTGAAGTACTTCAACTCCATACGCCCTGGAAAAAGGACAGGCGACCCTTGCGTTACAGATATCAGAGCACTTAGGTACACAAAGACTGATGGTATCCAATATAAGTTAGACTTTGATGATAACTGGACTCCACATCCATCGCGAAAGTTGTTATTGAGTGATATTGGAACCAGCAAGAAATTATATGATGATGCCTTGCCAATATCTCGTGACAAGTATAATAACTTACAAACACTCAAATCTGTCATACATAGGGACTATCATCATTTTTATGATTTATTGAAACACGAATGATGTCTTTTTCCATGTTTTGGTAAAAAAGATATAAGTATATTTTATTTTTATTTTATTTTTAATTTATTACAATACTGTTCATGAGTTAATACACATTGATTTTCAAGTGAAGTTTCGCTAGTTTCCATTCAATAAACACGTATCTCATTAAAACCATCATGATTCAGTTTGAAAACCTCGTATCTCAACTTTTTCCAAAATATTTCCGTTTTTGTTTTTATCAAAATATGCATACCCAATTATTCAAGGTACCTTTGGCAATACATATTGAACCACTTATCAAAATTTGAACTAAATCAAATAATTGATTAGGATATGAGAAGTTTTCTCCATTTCCTGAAAATTGTGCTTTTTTGAGATACAAGGCTTTCACATCTGGGCGACTATATGTCGATACTTTTGAACTGGACCAGAGATATTTTTATGGACAAATTTCCTTGTTAACCTGACGAGTATGCACTGATGATGGCTTAACAGTCGAAAGCACTCTACTACGAGTAATAAATTTGTATTAACTATCTTGCACGAAATACAACACTTCACTTCATTGGGAAAATATAAAGAGACATCCTGTTCAGGTGAGATCCCCGACTTTGAAGACGGTATCCCGAGATTAAAGTCGGGATACCGAGATTAAAGTCGGGATCCCGAGATTGAAGACTTGATCCCGGTCCGAATTTGAAGTCGGGGTCCCAAGAATGAAGTCGAGATTCGAAAAAAAAAGTATAGGTGGCCCTTCAGAGCCTTCGTAAATACCTGCATACAAAGACGCGTGCTCTTCATTTCATTACTTCTCTGGTTTCATTATTTATTTCATCCATCAGCGCTCTAACATTTTAATCGACTGAATTCTTAGGTCCTCCTTGGACACCTATACTAGGTAATGGACCAGAGCTAAAGAAGCTATCGAAGGCCCTTGGTGGTCAACACTTGGCCTTTGCAAAACTAAGTGAACAGTATGAAACGGATGTGCTAGGACTGAAGCTGGGAGGGGAACTCGTTATTGTGGTTACTTCCTATTGGACGGCTAGGGCAGTGCAACTGTCTGAGGACTATGAAGGTAGACCGAAGAATTTTTTCATGAAACTGAGATCTGCAGGAACTGAAAAAGGTGAGAACTTCGACAGGTTAGGTTAAAAATAGAAATATTATGAACTACGAAATGGCCACAATGGTCAAAGTGGAATGAAATGTTAAATAAATACAAAAAGCTCAAAGTCATATCCACACAATGTTCATAAAATGCACAACAATGGTAGATTCCGGGAGAAAAATAACTTCTTTACTGGCTAATGCCACGCAGAACATTGAATTACATCCTCCCGAAATCTATGCATCGACTCGTATAAACGAATACTGATAGGTACACGTTAATCTTTCCTGGATGCCTATTGATTTCGATTTAGCCAGGCCACGCTAGACACCTACAGACCGGTTTCGAGCTCTTTGCCTCTTTGACTCTCTTCAGTGCAGGGCAGTCTCCATCCAGCAGTCCTCCTAAGGCCGCCGACTAAGCGTAGAAAATATGAAAGCAACTCCATCTGAGTAAAAACGAAGGAAAGAAACACTTCAAAACTGAAATTTCCATACGAGAGTGGCTGGTTGCCCGACTGGCGTAATTTCAACCACGAAATAGCCACAATTAATGCTCAAAGTGGAATGAAATGTTAAATAAATACAAAAAGGATGTAATTCAATGTGCTGCGTGGCATTAGCCAGGAAAGTAGTTGATTATCTCCCGAAATCTACCATTGTTCTTCATTTTATTATTATTATTATTATTATTAATCTCTTTTTCAAATTGCATGATATTTCGGCACGCTCTGTTTAAATTAATTTCACAAAATGAGTAATTAATTCACATATACGTATCAATGATATGTATAAACCAAAGAAGGACTATACTCTATCTGATTTAGATCAAATTAATTTTTTATATACCTCTGTGATAACAGTTTGTTTCTTAGGTTTAATTTTCTTATTTGTTTTAATTTTTACTATTCGTTCCTGTTTCTTATAAACTCAAATCTTATAAGTACCGATGTACCTATGTAACTCTATTCTATTCTATTCTGTTGGAAACAGGTTACCTTCCTGTTTACTGAAAGTACATAATGTTTTGACGTCGTAGGTTCATGTCATTATCCTTTTCTGGTATTAGTACTGATGAAATAAATCGAACTGGCAACCCTGGTCCGCGCGAAGAGTGAGTTGCTGTTGTGAAATTATTTATTCACGAAATCCGATAGATTTCACGTGGGAATAGGGCCTGGGCCTAGATGTGGATATAAACATATAAGTGTTTGAAAAGGAATATTCTCAGATAAATTATGAACATACAAAAATGGATATAAATTTATATAAAGCTATACGTTGAGAATTCGTATTCTCCATGTAATGAGAATCTCAACTTTTTTTTTTTTTTCAGTTCATTCAATAGAAAACAACTACTTTCCTGGCTATATGCCACGACGAACATTGAATTATAACTATTGAACACACACGATAAGAGTTCGAAAATAAAATATAAAATCTTCTGAAATTGAGAATTTGCATTCTCCTTCAGACAAAAATATGTATGTGCATACATCATTCTGAATATTCAACAGAAAACAACTACTTTCCTGGCTATTTGCCACGTCGAACATTGAATTATATCTGATGAACATCCAAAAGGAGAACATGAAAAATAAAAAATAAAATCCTCCGAAATTGAGAATTGACATTCTATTTCAAATCGGATGAATAATATGATGTATAATGAAATAGAAATATAACTTATTACCAATATATTCAGCATTGAAATGGAAATTTGAATGTATAGGAGAAGTATACTGGCATAAACTCTGATCTTGATGAGCTTGAAAACTTCCAAAAATAATCATTCATATCAATGATATGGGAAATATTATCTCTCACACACAGGTTATATGACTTTATAGCAATGAAACCATTTCGGATTTCTGAATCCTCATCAGTAACCATGATGTCAACTTTTTCTTACAGCCATTCAATGTTCGACGTGGCAAATAGCCAGGAAAGTAGTTGTTTTCTGTTGAATATTCAGAATGATGTATGCATTATGCATAATACATATTTTGTCTGAAGGAGAATGCAAATTCTCAATTTCAGAAGATTTTATATTTTATTTTCAAAGTCTTATCGTGTGTGTTCAATAGATATAATTCAATGTTCCTCGTGGCATATAGCCAGGAAAGTAGTTGTTTTCTATTGAATGAACTGAAAAAAAAAGTTGATATTCTCATTACATAGAGAATACGAATTCTCAACGTATTGCTTTATATGAATTTATATCCATTTTTGTATTTTCATAATTCATCTGAGAATATTCCTTTTCAACACTTTCATACCAAATCAGGGGGTTCAAACTTGAACGATGGAAACTTGTGATTTTTATAGACCTCTAATCGCAGATTCGTGATAGAGTCTCAATTCAGAATTTCTTTCCACGCCCTGTATGATGAATGTCAATTTATCATACACCCAAAAGCATTAGTGTTTGAGGTCGACGAAAAAATTTAATATGCAAATCTATGATATGCAACTAGGCGAAAAACTGTTTGTATCGCCTGGGCTAGGGCCTCGGCTCTCAAGTTGCAGACTCGACTATAATAGAAAGTTTTTCGTCCTTGAATAAATAACTATTTCCTTTCATCCCTAATATTTTAAGGTATAACTGGTACTGATGGAGAACTATGGCGCATCCAGAGAAACTTCGTGAAAATTCACCTCAGAAAACTCGGTTTCGGGAAAAAATCCATGGAACAGAAAATTCAAGACGAAGCTTCCGAGATCCTGACCTTACTTCAAGAAAATGAAGGAAAGTCGATTCAAACGAGCCCTATCCTGGCGATATCGGTGCTAAATATCATATGGGCGCTTATCAGGTACCTAGGTGTGAAAACATTGAAAAAAATAACAATAGTTTGAAATATTGATCTGAAAGCTCTATTGCTCGGATTTGTTCCATTTGAAAAATATAGAATTGCGCCCCCAAGAACATCTAACATTTTTTCCAGAGTGTTCTGACATCAATAGATACCTATGTGAGAACTTAAGTCAGCAGAGAATCGAAACGATGACTCCTGGGAAATACCAAATTTTCAAGTAGGTCTATGATAAAAAAATGAAAAATCGGGGTTAGGAGTAAGACGAAACTGAGAGGCAATTTTCCCAAAGAAACATAGGCACAATTCGATTTCCCGGTGTACCCATTTATTTCTGAATGAGACACAATTGGAAATGTCTGGATTACAATATTTCTTCAATCTCAGAGGGAGTGGAAATTTCAAATCCAGAAGCGTACCAATTTTTTCATGAGGTCGAAAATGAAAAATATACTCATTCCATTTACTGAACAAGCATAACGTGACTACTCAAATAATTCCAAATCGTGGACAGTGTGCATCTCATTTTGGTTGATATGGCCATGTTTCTTGATTGTTGCCGTCTTCACGTTCCGTTTCCCACTTTTTTTTTTAAACCAAAGATGATCTGATCAGATTCCGCATAACTATTTTCGTTTTTCGGATACAGGGCGATTTTGATAATTCACACTTTTTGCACTCCTTCTATATCTACGTAGTTATGCACTATGTGGGTTCCAGTGCATGAAGGAATCAAACGAAATGAGGCAGCTGATCGACTTGCAAAGAAAGGTGCAGCATCTGCTCTCTTTGGTCCTGAGCCTCCTTGTGGGACAAGCAAATGTCACTTTAAGGGAGAACTCAGGAAATGGGAAGAAATTGAAAGGCCCTTCTACTGGAGAGCAACTCCAGGTCAACGACAATGGAAGAGTTTCATCAACCATTCGCAGAACCGCGCCAAAGAGCTACTCAGCCTCAGCAAACCAGAGCTGAAGCTCATCACAGGCTTTCTCACAGGACTCTGTCCTCTGAGCTACCACCTCAAAAAGATGGGCCTGGCGGAGACTGACACTTGCCGCTTTTGCAACAATGCGACCGAAACCGCGGAACACATACTTTGCTCATGTGAAGTATTAGTCCACCAAAGGCTGAATCACCTAGAACAGGTCTATCTCACTCCTCCTGAGGCGGAAAATTCAACCGTCAGGCGAATTCTAGGGTTCATCAGAAGTCTAGGTTATAGGTAATCACAATAGATCTTCTAGGTCGCAGTGATCGAGAGGTGTCCCAGCCTATACGGCCCATCTACAATCTACCATCTACGTAGTTATGCGCCAAAAACTATGCCTTACAGATAATTTTGCGCAGAATCCAGTGGCATATGCAAATATTTATTACAGTGTTCGGTTTTGGAAATACGACACAATGGAATCCCTGTATTTTATTATTTTGTTAAATTTGTTTTTTCCCCTTCAAAATGATGCATAATACTTTATACATAGGGTTTCCAGAAAAGCTGAAAAACAAACTGAAAAAATAAATTATGATGAATTTCAGCTGGTGGGTAATGGTTTTTCCAAGTTAAACTTGAAGGATTATCATGTGTGATTTATTACCTACTATATCAAATAGATACTTCTTCTATTAGTTACATGTATTATAAATTATCTATTATTATTCATTTGTTGTTTATTTGGGTACCTACGTTTTATGAACCAAGTAAAATATTTTGTGTTAAACTCTATTTTTCTGCCTTATTTCCTTATGGAAACATCACAAATGAGAATCCTTCAGATTTTACTGCATTTATATGAAAAATTTACAGTCCCAGCATAATCTCATAATAATTTGATGTTTTAGTGTTTTTCAGCATTTCTGGATATCCTAAGAACAAAGTTTTATATATCACTTTGAAGAGAAAAGATAAACGAATGCAACGAGATAATGAAAACCGATTTTTTTTCTCAGTACGTCACTGGATTCTGTGCAAAATTCTGTGTTAGACGTAGATTTCAGCGCAACATTATCACAAGATCATTTACTTCCAAGCGTAACAAAAGAGAGCCGGTTGGTCGACGGCAATCAATAGTCAAAATAGTAGATTTTTTTACTAGGATCAAAAGTGGCACTTTGTTTGACAAGCGAATTTTGCATTTGAGAGGCGGACAGATTATCATAATATACCTTCTTTATAATAATATTAGTAGGTAGATATATAGAAGCAAGACCTCAGACTACTTTTTTTTGTTACAATTTATGTTGACATGCCTCATGTCACTCATGTCATCGAATACTACAGGCACGAATTCAAAACTATTCCCGAAACGTGGATGCCGTGAAACATGTATGCAATACTACAAATAATCCATATGGTGAGAATATTTTACCGGCCTTGACAAATCAGGTTTATTCAATTGTCAAGGTTCAGGTGCCAGCCCTAATAGCAAATAGCACGCTGTTGCCAGGTATAAGAAAAAGACGTGGAAAATGGTAGGTTAGCGAGCATATCAACAATAATAATAGGGTGCATTTATCCCTCTCTGCTGGCCGTGATTATTCAAAAATAAGTTATTCATCCCAAGAACAACGAATGAAATACAGATCAAGCAAGTATGTGAATCTTGAAGGCTTTTCTGATCAAAACAAAAAAACTCAACTATTATGGTGTATTTATATCTCCAGCATGGGTATGAAATGCCAAATCTGACGAAATCGAAAACAAATCATGTATGCGTCCCTTACCAAATAACCAACCAAAACAATGTTGTTTATTCTTGAAGACCTAATCTAGTACATCCTATTTAGTTACTAGGAACTAAAGTTCAACTTTAGCTCTTAGGAACTAAAAGTGTTGCCTATAGCAACATACCTATGTTTATTTCAGTAATAGAAACGTTGATTCAAGAGCTAATTTTGGTATTAAAATGGTCGACTCTTGTGTCGGTTGCAGAAAATAGTTATTTTTGTATCTAGAGCGCGAAATGCTACTTTGGAGATCGCCGAGTTAAAAAAATAGTCGAGATGACCAAAGTATTTCGCGCTCGAGTTGCAAACAACATTTTTTCTACGAAACGTCAAAAAATATAGTTCTTAAGTAAAAATATGCCTAGCTTGATGTAAAAAATAGTGTCGAACTAGCTTAAAAGACCTCTCCCTATCCTCCCTAGGTACGCACGATGTTCCACGAACATAATAGGAATTTCCTTTCGTGCGCTCCAAGGGATAAAACGAAGTTATTGTTGAACATTCAGAAATGAATGATTTCGTCGATGTTTGCTCGATTGAGGACCATAAAGTTGAAATATAAATATCTTATATATTTTACAAAACAAGTACCTACTTCGCGCATTGTTTTGTGCTAGGTACCATGGTAACGTAGGAAACTGAAAAAAAGTGTCACTTCGCAATTTGTTATCAATGCGCGAACCTTGTCATTTTTTGACGTTTGTAGAAAAATGTCATTTTTCAAATCAGGAATACCTAGAAGTGTGTATGTTCTTCTTTTCTAAATTTTTATACGATTTCCTTTACCATAGTTACACTTGGGGCCCTGGGAGACACGGCAGTTAACGTGTTAAGCAGGATACAAACTTTATGACTTGTCACATTATTTACTCTGAAAGTCTTCTACTTATAGACAAAATCCGAAATTGAATCGAAATTTTGACGGAAATTGAAAATATTCACAAAAGAAAATTGATTCTGTGTAAATTCTCCAGCGATATCTGTTATTTCAAGCGGTTCGAGACTGAGACGTGATGACCCCCAACTCGCCAGGCTCTTGTACCTGTTCGACTTGCGTTCTGAGGCCTTCGACATGGCAGGAGGTCTCCTGAACCAGTTCCCGTGGCTCAGGCTGATCGCCCCGGAGAAGTCTGGGTACCGGCTCATCGTGCGGATGAACGACGAGCTCAGAGCGCTGATGAGCACGGCGATCAAAAGGCACCACGAGACTTGGACGGAGGGCAGGGAGGACGATCTGATCTATTCTTTCATCAGCGAGATGAGGAAGGCCGATGGCAAAGAGACTACTTTTACAGGTGAAAATCGGTTGTTATAGTTATTTATGTATTAAGGGAATTATGGGGGCCTTAATTACCGATGGCAAAGTTTGCGTCCCGAGGGCCTCTGGCCCGAGGGACAGCAATTGCCAGAGGTTATTGAGGCTCTATAATTCCCGTCATACATAGATAATTTTATTTCTGACTGATTTCATTCATTAGATACCTTCCCGATTGGAAGTTAGACATGTTTTTCCGTATAGTTTCAATGTCATCAGAACGTCAGATGATGATCTTGACTACCGTGAATAGGAGATTCCTTATTGCTACGTTATTGCATGGTTGTTGCTATGCATTTCTTATTTAATTTTAGCTACAGGAATTATAGCATCTATAACATCCCAAGGGAGTTATGACCCTCATTATAGATATCGTAACTATGGCGATATAAGCTTATAATGTCACTGTCAGAAATAAAATACATAAATAAATGAATGTTCATAAAACTGAGGTGATACTAGCCGGTGACTTCAATTTGAAATTTGCAGTTTTCGAAACGCCGAACTTAACTAACTAGGTACTTTTGAAAACTTATTAGAGTTATTCAATTCACATAGTGGTCGACGGAGTTTCATCTGACTCTCTTATCATAAATGCTGGTGTTCCGCAAGGATCAATTCTAGCACCAACACTATTTCTACTCCATATCAACGATTTGTTGGAAGCAACTTCATGTTCAGTACACAGCTTCGCGGATGAAAGTACCCTCCATACCGCCTTTTCTTCCAGGGCTCCAATACCATCCAGGCAAATCAGAAACAAGGAGGGAGAAATGTTGACAACATAAATATGGACTTGGCAACAATTCTCGAATGGGGATCCAAAAACTTGGTAGATTTCAATGCAATCAAAACACAAGCATGCGTTTTCTCTAGAAAAGCCGATCTCACTGTGCTCAACATGAGCTTACCATACCTTTGAAGCCATCCATTTCGATGCTTGGTATTGCTATCAGCAATAACCTTTCTTGGGAAAATCACGTGAGATCAATTGCGAAAAGTGCATTCCAAAAACTTGGTTTTCTGTTTCGGACCAGGAGCTATTTCACTCCCAGTCAGCTGCTTATGATCTATAAGGCACAGATCCGACCTGTCCTGGAATACTGTTCCCTTATTTGGAGTGCAGCACCCAAAAATACACTGAAACAGTTGGATTCTGCCAAAAAAAAAAGGACAATTCGTCTCGTGGGTATGATGCCTCGCTCACAAACTCACTCTCTTCTCTGGAACACTGTACAAAAGTTGGCAATCTGGCTCTATTTTATAGATGTTTTCATGGTCGATGCTCTTCTGAAATATCAACAATTGTTCCTCCCTTGGCAGTCCCTGCGAGATTAACCCGTCGAGTTGAGGCTTCGCACCCCTTCGTGGTCACTTTGGAGACCTGCAGAACATCTTTTTTCAAAGACTCGTTCATACAATTAACAGCGAGGCTCTGGAACACATTGCCAAGGGAGGTGTTTCCCGAGGCATATAACCTCCAGAAATTCTAGAAGAACACCAATTCCTACCTTATTTTCCTTGGGTCTCACGATGTTCTCTGAACATTACAGGATATCCCATTTCGTGGAAACCAGCACATAACAAAAAAAAATTGTTGTTTTGCCAGTATTAAAAAAAGGGAATCACTGATGATGTGAAGAATTTTCGCCCTATATCTATAATGCCAATTATAGGCAAAATAACTTTCTGGAAGAAAATGCACTGGTCAATTTGGTTTCAGTAAAAAACGTTCCACAACACATGCTCTCCTAAAAGTTGTGTCGGGCATAGTCAAGGGCCTGGAAGAAGGTACTTACTCTCAACTCACGTTGTGTGATCTTTCGACTGTGTTTTGCATGAAGTTATTTTGAAAAATTCTCATTATTATGGCATCAGAGGCTTGGCTCTCGATTTTTTTCAATCTTACCTGAGAAATAGATCCAAGTATGTTAGACGATGTGGTGCTCTTTCTGATCGAAAGATTATTGAACAAGGTGTTCCTCATGGCTCTGTTTTGGGCCCCCTGCTATTCCTCATTTATATACATGACCTTCATTATTTCATATCTCCGACCAAGACCGTTCTTTTCGCAGATGATAGATAGATAGATGATAGTAAGATAGATAGATTTATTGAAGCTTTCCATTTAAAACAGTTGAAAAACTCAAGTCATATCACAAACTTATGAATATGAATATATGTGTAAATTGTGATTGAGAATTTTGTGAAAATCTTATCGTTTGTGCAGTTTTCACAATTGTCATGGATTCAAAAGTTAGAAGACATTCGTTTGAACTTTTCAAAGGGACCGGCAGTGGCGGCCTAACTCTTTTGATCAAGCTGTTGCTAGTGACTTTGTAAAGACTATAACAAAAGAGCAAGTCGAAAAATTAGGTACAACAAAATTTGTATTTCCACTATCTTTTATCCCCTTTTTTCAGATGATCAGCTGATAATGGTTTGTCTCGATTTGTTTTTGGCTGGATCTCAAACAACAAGTAACACCATAGATTTTGCATTACTGATGATGATTCTGCATCCAGACATTCAAAATAAAGTACATTCCAGCTTGAGTGACGAATTCGGTAAAAATGAAGAAATCAATTTCAGTGATAGAAATAGGTGAGGTAAATAATTAAGTAGCAAAAAGGTAGCAAGGAATTTTACTCTGATCTAGGGCTGTGCGATATTGAAAATTGGATATCGATATATTGATGTTTGCTTGGAAGTTATTTGTTCAATAAATAAAATATTATATTCATGAAACATATCGATACATATAATATATTGATATATATCGATACATAAAATATATGCATATATATCGATTACCGGTGGTGTAACGAAGAAACGCAACTTCATTGTTGATGTGCTCAACATATAGAACATTTAACCCAAATATCAAAATCAAGGTATGCTTTGGTATCGATATATCGATATGTTTCGAAATATCGATATGTATCGATATATATCGATATATCGGATATGTATTGATATATACCGATATCGATATTTTGTTCTCATGATATCGTTATTCGATATATCGGTATATCGATATTTTTGCCCAGCTCTACTTTGATCTATACTCATATTACAAAGAGAAAATATTTTTTGGATGTATGATGAATTGATATTCATCATACAGGACGTGGAAAGAAATTCTGAAATGAGGAAACCTAATCACGAATCTGCGATTGAGGTCTAAAAAAATCACAAGTTTCCATCGTTCAAGTTTGAACCCCTTGATTGGATGAAAGTATTGAAAAGGAATATCCTCAAATATAATTATGATCATTAAAAAATTGATATATACATATATACATTGAGAAAACAACTACTTTCCTGCCTATATGTTACATCTATTGAACATACACAATAAGAATTTGAAAACAAAATCTTCTGAAACAGATAATTTGCATTCTCCTTCATATAAAGATATGCACGACATAATATCATTCTGAATATTCAACAGAAAACAACTACTTGCCTGTTGAACATCAAAAAAGAGAGCATGTAGAATGAAAATCCTCTGAAATTGAGAATTGACATCATCTTTCAAATCGGATAAAAGAGTATGATGTATATAAAAATATAACCTACCAATATACGTTCAGTATTGAAATGAAAAATTGAAATGTATATGAGAAGTATACTTGTGTAAACTCTGATCTTGATCTTTGGAAGTTCCAAGCTCAAAAACTGTTCTAGTATTGAATAAAATGTTTTTTTCTTCCTTCAAATGTTGCGCAGTCTGAGAAAGTTTTTTATTATTTTCGATATACTGCTTGAAACTCTAAACGTACACTCGAAAATGTTCGATCGAGAAGATCTGATTCGAATCGAGTAAAATCATTTACTTTTCAAAATAATGATGAAATATCAGAATCGAGAATGGAATAATGCAAACTGTTTTCCTTTTTCAGAGTTCCTTATGTTGAAGCGGTGATATTTGAAGTCGAGAGACTCTACCAAGTCGTACCAATAAGTGGACCAAGACGGGTATTGAGAGACACAAAATTGAAAGGTTACAGTATCCCTAAGGTAGATAATGAACTCTAACATTTTCATTTTTCAAGACAAACATGAATCAACAATCTTTAACAAAAAAATACAGAAAAATAGCGAAGACTGGAATTACATAGATATAAGGTAAACGTACCAATTATCGACACCCTAAGATGTTTTTGCTACTTCATATGGGAGTAAAAATTCCAATATAAAAGTTATAGCCTCGAAAACTTCCCTGTGGAATATTATAATATTTATTATTACTATGCAATGCTCAAATTTTAAATAGCAATACATACTTCATTTATACAAAATGAAATAGTAAAAAAGTTTCATTTGACCCAATTATCGACATGGGAAAATTTGTGTCATCCCTAATATCGACACATGTGAGTACGTAATACTGACACTTGATGATGTTTTGGAGTAAGTACTTATACCTAAGTAAGTAACATGCAATTCACATGATTCAATGATAATAAACTAGCTACAACATATTCATTACAATAGATCAAAATAAATGAAACACTCAAATATTGGCATGTCAAGCTCCTCAACCACTGAATAAAAAATTTCCGGTCAACAAAGTAGAGTCCGCGTTCATATTTTTTGTTTTTGGTTCCGTAATTTTCTCAAAAAAATGTCATCTCTTTATGATCTGATGCTCTTTAGTCTCCCCACTAGTCAACATATTCTCGATGTTATAATTGTGCTCTGCAACTAAGTTCATTTCACCATTATTCGAGGCTTTGTTATTTTTTTTATCTTGCAAATCTTCCTTTTTAGCCTTCCTCTCCTTCCTCTTCTGTTTGTTTCCTTCTTTTTTCTGTAGTTCGGTACAGTCGAATACTGTTATCTTTCAGCGTTGTGCATATTATATTTCAATTCAAAAATACTGTACCAGCTATCAACTTGCTTGGTACCAAACACTGACACACAAAATACATCAAGTCTACCTTCCTCATGAAGCAGAAAAGTGAGTGTAGATAACTGGTACACCTTTAACTTATCATCATTTCTTCTGGATTCTTCAAACAGTACAATTACTTGAATATTCATAGGAAAAGAGAGAGCTATGTATTGAACCATTTATCGACACCTTTGTCGATATATGGTACAAAGTTTAAAAATTGATGTACCAGTTATCGACAGTACAAAATAATAAATTCTTACGTATTTCACGCCAAATTGTGAACAAACACACATTTCAGTTTCTAAATATATGTTAACAACTACTACCATATTCAATTTTTTTCTCTCTCTCTCTTATCACTTTGGACAATAACGATTTGTATCAGTTTACATGTAGTGACAGAATGAGGAAGTTGAAAAATTTATAGAATTCATATTTTCTGCCCTACCGGCCGGAGCTTTTTAGGAAAATATGTATGATAATAGATGATAGTCATTTTCCTCAACCGGTATTTTTTGTGTCCCGTGTGCACTTTGATGATTAAGTATTGCGGGTGATTTTATCTCTCCAAGTACTCATTGGAATAAACGAAATGCGATAGTGGAAGTCTCAGATACGCGACTGGCCAATATGGCGGCCATTCCAAGATGGCTGCCAAACTACATATTAAAAACAGCCATATCTCGGCCATTTTGGAAGTTTTTTTTGTTTTGTAGACCTTCACGAGCGCTATCTTTTAGATGGTTAGACATTTCACGCTAAATATAACAACTTTTGAGTTATGGTGAAAACAAACTATTTTTGAACGAAAAACTAATTATTTGGTCTATTGTCATGGAAAGTAACTAGTAGTAGTCACTGATAATAAAATACAATATTTGCAGCTCAAAATCACTACCAGCGGGTTCTACAAGTTGAATTGAAAACAACAGATAAGAATTATATTGTTCATCAGTGAAGAGATTCGAGGGTGATTCGTTACTCATTGTCAGTGTCAGTTTCATCGTCGTTTTCATCCAACGGTTCACAGGCCTCATTGGGAACATTGTCACAGTTTTGTTCATTTCCAGAACAATTGCACATCTCTGTACATGGAAGTCCATTCTTCAAACACTTACACGGAGGCGCACATCGTGATATTCCGCAAGAACACCGAACGGATGATAGAAGTCCTGGTGGTCCACATGGTAGTTCACTCATCTCTGGAACAAATTCACCGTTCTCTAACTTCCAACCACATTCTGATGGACATGGTAGGTCAGGTGTTGCAACATCTGATTTACTCCAAATCATAGCTTGCAAATGTGCTCTTCGGACTGCAGGACGAAGTGAAGCTAAAATTGGGGGCAGACTAGCACCTTCAACTTGCTTTTTGGGAAATAGCCATTACCTTAGTTCACTTAAGTAGTAATGCCTTTCTTTTCCTCAAGTAGACAGAACAAAGATATTCTTCTAAACCATCATAGATTCAATCAAGGACGAAATTCTACCAAGAGATGAAAGTGATTGATACCAACTGACAAGCAGGACAAGAACATCTTCTTAAGTGAACTGAGGTGGTGGCTATTTTCCAAAAATCAAAGTGAAGGTGCAAGTCTACCCCCAAATTCAGCTTCATTTCGTCCTGCAGTCCGAAGAGCACATTTGCAGGCTATGATTTGGAGTAAATCAGATGTTGCTACACTTGACCTACCATGTCCATCAGGATGTGGTTGGAAGTTAGAGAACGGAGAATTTGTTCCAGAGATGAGTGAACTACCATGTGGAACACCAGGACTTCTATTGAAGAATGGACTTTCATGTACAGAGATGTGCAATTGTTCTGGAAATGAACAAAACTGTGACAATGTTCCCAATGAGGCCTGTGAACCGTTGGATGAAAACGACGATGAAACTGACACTGACATTGAGTAACGAATTACCCTTCACTGATGAACAATATAATTCTTATCTGTTTTTTCAATTCAAATTGTAAAACCCGCTGGTAGTGATTTTGAGCTGCAAATATTGAACTTTATTATCAGTGACAACTCTACTAGTTACTTTCCATGACAATAGACCAAGTAATTAGTTCTTCGTTCTGAAAACGTTTGTTTTCACCATAACTTGAAAGTTGTTGTATTTAGCGTGAAATGTGTGATTATCTAAAAGATAGCGCTTGTAATGGTCTACAAACGAAAAAAAACTTTCAAAATCGGTTGAAAAATGGCCGAGATATGGCTGTTTTTAATATGTAGTTTTTCATCCCTCTTGGAATGGCCGCCATATCGGCCAGTCGCGTATCTGAGATCTCCACCATCGCATTTCGTGTTCTCCAATGAGTACTTGGAGAGAAAAAACTACCCGCAATACTTAATCATCGATCAAATTGCACACGGGGGGATGGGTTAAGGAAGCTGACTATGAAGTAAGCATCAGATTCTCATGTTTTTGATTGATACGTTTACCTTAACTGAACTGTATAAAAGTTGTCAGATCAAGAGTATATATAGTAATAAAGACAATTGGAGAGGTATGCTGATATACCTATTAGATGAAAATCACCATCCATATACATGATCTAACGGGTATTATCACAATGTGTATGATTTTTTGAGATTTTTACATTGATCTAAAATTCACGAAGCTCGCTTTCATACATCTATTCTGATAATGTTTAAAGAGGAATTCACATGGCAGTTCCGACTTTTTCGCTCACATAAGTAATATTCTTTTTATCAACTTTGACTGAGATAAACCGAGATTCTCAGTGCAGCTCAATAGCTCAGTTGTATCTCATGTTTCATTTATCTTAGTCTGATGTGAGCTGTCTTAAGAGCTTATTGAGACTATTTCTTCCCCCTCACCCCAACTGAGCTTGCTATTCATCTGGTGTTGTAGTGAGAAAAAGGTGAGACTGGATTAATTCTAGTAATTCTGTGGTTCTGTGCTGAAAATTGTGAGGTTATATTTTCATTTTGTCATGCTTTCAGCTTTGAAGTTTCAGTCCACAGGTTAAATCTTTTGAATACTCACCACAATAATATTTCTATACTCCTCATTAATTTCCTCAGCCATTTTACATTCTGGTTGAATGTTCGTGTACACCTTAGTAGAACTTTCAACTCAAACCATGTTTATAATGATCCTTTCATACATAAATACTGATTGACGACATAATTCGATCGAAAAATTAAGTGAAATAGATAATAGTACCTTCTGAAAACGGACCCTTTTATGACGTAGGAACCTCATATCGCCATAGTTAAAAGAAAATACCAAACGCCCGACGGAGACTGAGGCAACTGATATATTAATCCTTTCAACTGTGATCTCGCGCTAATTCACTCTGTCAGAAATCATGTATTATTCATCTCTGTCTGGAATAGTCTAGAGTCCCTGTATATACCTTTGACAAGGTATATACAGGGACTCTAGAATAGTCTTGTTTCAGTATTGGGGTTTTGACGTCACATCATCCCCTCGTTTTCAGAGGTCCGAAAAATCGGGGATTTCAATAATTTTTTATAAAACGTAGGGAGCTCACAGCAAGAAACGGTTTGCGGTGGTCAGCTAGTTTGGGTGATTTCTATCGAATTATGAAATACTTTTTTTTTGTGATATAAGCCCATTATGTTGGGTTATGTTTTCTTTCCTTGCCCTTTCTGGCAGATAAAAATGAAAACATGTTCTTTTTATTCAATCGACAACTCAGATCCGTCTCACCTCCTTCTAACTCAATTGATCTCAGTAGTGAGAATGTAACAAGATGAAAAGAATATTGCTATAGATTCGGTGTTCAACTCACAGGTTCCATGGTCGAACTGTTTGGATACTTACTGCGAGAAAACCAATCTGATTGACATGATGTGTCATGTGAACTAACCCTATGATTATAAGTACCTTGGCTTATCATTATTATTTTATTATTTTTAGGATACAACAGTATTAATTAGTTTATATTCATCACACAGTAGCGAAGAATTCTGGAAAGATCCAGAAGTTTTCAGACCTGAAAGGTTTTTGGATGAAAATGGAAGACTGTCCATTCCTGATAGGCTAATGACATTTGGTTTAGGTTAGCCTAATATTCAGTGACTAATTGTAAACGTGTACATTATACAATTTCTATTTTAGGTAAAAGGAGATGTCTAGGAGAAATCTTAGCCAAAACTTCAATATTTTCATTTTTCTGCACAATCATGAGAAATTACCGGATATCATCTCCGTCGGATTGTGAAAAGCCTACTGGAAGACCTATTCCAGGGATCACCTTCAAAGCCGAAAAATACAAAGCTGTGTTCACAAAGTTATGAAAGACAATGTATATAGATCATTTATATGTATAAGTAATATATACGGCTGATTCTTGTTTGTTGGTTTTTGTAAATTATTGTTTATGCAATGCAGTTAATTTGAAAACTAAATGGAATGAAACATGATGGTAAGTATTGAAAAAATGGTTTTGCACCACTGTTTTTTGTGTGTGTAGAAAAATTAGGTAGTAAATGACATCCACAGGAGAGCTTAAATATCCTGCATGATAGGGCTTCATATTTGAGATATGAGTTGGCACGGGGTGACTTCAAAATATGTACATTCAATAAACATAATCTTTGGAAGAAGTCTATGGTAACTCAAAGTGGAGTGGTGTAGTTCATAGATGGAAACCCAAAGTCATCTCCACAACATTTATTAGAATGATCAAAGACCAATCTCAAAGAAACATGTTCCTTTGAGATTGGTCTTTGATCATTCTAATAAATGATGTGGATATGACTTTGGGTTTTCATCTATGAATGAACATATTGTTGACAATCTTACAAAAAATACTACCGAACTATCAGATTCGTAACAAAGATCAAAGAAGAGAATGGAAACAAACAAGTAGATACGCCACTTAAGGACACTTGAATACTTGAAATAATTGGAATCTAGGTTAGGTAAAGTTAGGTTCCATGTGAGTGGGGCGAATAACGCCCCTCCACTGGGACCTCAGATGAGTCTATTGTGGCTCGTTCACTGTACAATCCACTTCATGGTTGAATGAGGTGAGATTTGTCTAAGCTCCATACGGTCTAAATTGGTGTAAAGCCAAATATGTAGAACCTTAGTATCCTTAAGCAAAAGCATGAACATAGTGTGTGTTCAGCCGTTTCGTCTTTCACACAGCATAAACGACAGTTCGCTTGTTGATTCAGACCCATCCTTCCCAGGTGGTATCTTGGACGACAGAGTCCTGGAAGCAGTCCTGCCAGAATTCGCAAGTTATCCCTGCTCCATTCTAGGATCTGAATGGTCATATTTTTCGATGGTTTAGGCTGGAACGTCTCCGACTGCGTTAATCCTGGTAATTCAGCCCAGTACGTGAGTCTTTCCCCTTCGCCCAGTTCGAGATAGTTGGTTTGACTGCACTTGCGGTAGGTGACCCCAAAGTTTTTGGCAAGGAGGTCGGCTCTCTCGTTGCCTTCCACCCCTTGGTGTCCAGCCACCCACAGCAAAGTGAGTCTGTTGTTAGCACCCAAGCATTCTAGGGATTCAATACAGATCCATTCAAGCTTGGAATCTAACTTGCTGAAGTTCAGTGCTTTAAGAGCAGCCTAGCTGATACAATGTTGATGTTTTTGATAACTAGAAGTCTATTCGTCTATTCTTTCATTCATTAACACTCTGATAAGGATAAAGTTTCTCTGATCATTAGTAACAGATTTCTTTCCCTGTTTTATGAACATAACATCTTTTGGACACAGGGAGATTTTTGTTTTCTTATTGGTATTTTCTATTTTTAGAAACTATAGGAGAGTAAATCCCAAAGAATATCTAGGGAGATGATGGGATATGAGAAGTATAATTATATTACACAAGTCGAAGCCCTGGGGAGGCAAAAGGACGATCTAGCCTTCATAGCCATCTAGTGGCTCAAGTGCAAGGTGTATAGGTAGATTCATCAATCATACCTTGCGACTAAGTCGTGCATATAGACTCCTCCGTCCATATGCTTACAGAAAAGACATCCATGTCAGATTCTGTAGACTATCGCAACACCTGTAATTCTCAAAGTGGTTTAATGTTCCACTAACAGATGGTGATAAACATAGAATCTCAAGCCTTCATAGGCTATGAAGGCTAGATCGTCCTTCTGCCCCCTCAGGGCATCGACTTGTTTGATATATGGAGGTACCCTTCGTGAATCGATTGTCAGCTGGCCAGTGCAACTGATGAGACTCATGGCAAGTCGAAACAGTCTGTCTTGCATCAGCTGACAATCGAATCACGAAATTTCCCTAGAATCTCTTAGTCTTGAGATTCTATGTTTATAAGTATATATTATTTTGATAACGAAAAGGCGAAAATGAAGGAACTTCGAATAAATATGACTAAATCAAAAAATAACTGAATGAGAGGTTGAAGTGATGTAAATTATTGATTGAGTACTGATTTTTCATCAAGCAAGGGATACTGAATCATTCCTCAATTTTACGAAATTATTCAGAAATTCTCTAATTCATTTCAATATTTTCATGTCATTCATTGCATGCAGGAACTAACTATCAGTCTGTTGTCCGTGGAAGTGAATACCTAAACTAGACAAAAAAAAGTTTGTACCTAGCACTCCTTGATATTTTCAAATGGCCGAAGGTGCCAGTTTCACATTTTAGAAAATAATTCTAATATTTGCTTAAATATTTAGGTATATATTTTTTGTTTGAGTAGGTACTGGACTGTTTCGTTCTGTGTCATTGGTACAAAGCCATGAGTACATGTCCATTATACAAGTAGCACTGAGGTAATAAAGTTGCCTGAATCTGTCAAAAAAAAACATCGCTCTCAATCCCAACGTTTATTTTGCCAAATTCAAATAAATAAATAAATTACATTGAATGAACGCTGCAGAACCTAAAAAGCGTAATTGGCGTATCCAGACACGTAGTTGATGTGCGAAACGGCGGGCGCGGCTGAATAGGCCACTCCCAGCAGAGGGGCGTGTGCCACTCTCACTCCGGGGTTGGACACTCTCACGTCCGATTTGCTGACGCTCGAGAAGGGCGTGTCGATGGTCTTCGAGTAGGCGGAGACTTGCCCGAGGTTGCCGAAGCTGCGGTAGATGTTGGCGGACTGCGAGGTGAGGGCGGGGGCGGTGTACGAAATGGGGGCGGAGTAGGAGAGAGGGGCAGAGTAGGAAAGGGGGGCGGCGTACGCAGCGGGGGCGGAGTAGGCTAAAGGTTCCCCTATGAAGCCGGCGTTGGCGAAGGCGAGGGTGGCGAGAAGTGCTACGATCTGAAATAATGAAAGTATTTTATATTTTTCCTCGGATTCTGTTAGTTTCATTGTTATCCCGAATGAACGACAACCGCGTGTCTCTCTTTAAACGGCTTCTCTCTATATCTCCGCTATAAATCGTGCGAAATTTGGCGCGGTATTAATAAATATCAATATGATCAAAATTCCAGAGGAAATAGTATATTATGCAACAAGTGGGAAAAGTCCAACTTTTCTCACGAGTGCGAAAGTTTGTGGCACGAGCCTGAAGGGCGAATGATGCAAACGCACGAGTGATTCTTCATGGAAATGTATGTGGTGTTGGCAAAGTGCCGTGAGAAAATATATTTCTCACAGTATGGGCATTACATGGTTTTGAAACTAAGGAAGCTATGAGAAATGCGCTACTTTTCATAGCAGTATTAAAAAAAAAACATTATGCGATTTAGCTGCATCAAATTTGGTAGAACTGATGTTGATCATAAGTTCTAGGAATCACGCCATCTAACATACAATATGTGAACCCCACATCATCGTCTGAAATTCGATTGTTTTTATCAAGAACCAGTTCTGTGACCACCAGGGTGCAGACCGAGATGCTACCGTCAAAGTTGGGTTTTATCACCGCTCCTATGATGCCTGGTAATCAATGAGCTTCTCACAATACTCAATGGGTCAGGGATATATACGTAAGCATATGCAGATGACTAAATTATTATGGCTCGTGAATCACCTAGGAAACTCCATAATGGGAGCTTTCAGAAAAGTGGAACAGTGGTGCTCTGCCGGTGGGCTAAAAGTGAAACTCAAAATAGGAAGCTTTTCTCTCAGGAAGGTGTCTTCAATATAAATCATTTCATCGTGTAACATTCGATCAAAGGAAACGCGTATAATGTTTCACTCACGTTGGCAGCTCAGTCAACCGGAATGAAATACTCGCATATGGAGTAGGTTAGGTTAGGTTAGGTTCCATGTGAGTGGGGCGAATACCTGCCCTCCACTGCGACCCCAGATGGGTCTATTGTGGCTCACCCCTAGAGGTTACAGTTCACCGTACAATCCACATCTTTTTACAAAGTTCATGGTTGAATTGGGTGAGATTTGTCTGAAATCGATAGGTTCTAAATTGGTAAAGCCAAATGTGTCGAGCCTTAGTGTTTCTTAGCTAGAGCATGAACATAATATGTGTTCAGCCGCTTCGTCTTCTACACAACAGAACCGACAGCCCGTTTGTTGGTTCAGACCCATCCTTCCCAGGTGGTATCTTAGACGACAGTATCTTGTAAGCAGTTCAGTCAGAATTCGCAGGTTTCCCCTGATCCATTCTAGGATCTGCCTGGTTATTTTTACCGATGGTTCAGGCAGGAACGCCTTCGAATGGGTTAATCCTGGTAATTCAGACCAGTACGTGAGTGTTTTTCCCTCCGCCCAGCCAAGATAGTTGTTTTCGCCGCACTTGCGGTGACCCCAAAATATGGTTCTGGTCCTATGAACACAGATTCGGTTCCCTGTTTGGCGAGGATGTCGGCTTTCTCGTTACCCTCCACCCCCTGGTGTCCAGGCACCCACAGCAAAGTGGCTCTGTTGTTAGCACCCAGGCATTCTAGAGATTCAATACAGCTCCATACAAGCTTGGAATTTATCTTGCTGGAGCTCAGTGCTTCAAGAGCAGCCTGACTGTCTGATACAATACTGATATTTTTGTTTACTAGAAGTTTATTCGACAACTCTCTAGCACACAATTCAATTGCGAATACCTCCGCCTGAAAGATTGTAGCATATTTGCCGAGATTGGCGGGAATTTCCGTCTTCGGTTTTCTGCTGAACACACCGGCTCCAACTCCAAGAGGGGTTTTCGAACCATCTGTGTAAATTACGTATTCGGTCTCTGGGAATTGGACTGATCCAATTGCCCATTCGTCTCTCTTCGGGAAGAGGACTTTGAAAGACTTTTTCACGTGTGTCTAAGTGGCCAACATGTCGGGAACCATTCCTAGAGTTTGGTGATTTTTTGTTTCACACAGTATCCCGGAGTGGTCCAGCAGTCGCCCCCCTCTAATTTGATTTCCCAATGACAGGAATCTGTAGGAAACCATCCTGGCTTCCCTCTCCAAGACAATGTGGAGGGGAGTGAGGTTCAGGAGGTTTTCCATCGCTGCCGTTAAAGTAGAGGACATCGCCCCTGTAATGGCCAGGCATGCCAGCCGCTGAAGACCAGCAAGCTTTGCCCTGGCTGTTTCCTGCAGACCTTCAGTCCACCAGACTACCGAGCCATACGTGACCATTGGTTTTACCATTGTTTGGTAAATCCAGTAAATCTGTTTGGGGTTCATCCCCATGATTTGCCGCATACCCTTCTAAGGTTCCAGAGGAAAAGTCTGGCTTTGTCAATAGTTTCTGCCATATGGGCGTTCCAGGTGAGTCTTTTATCTAGGGTGACCCCTAGATATTTCACCTCCGCCGCAAACGGAATGCTCTCTCCATATAGGACAGGCTGACGAAGCTTATCTAGCTTTTGCCTTTTGGTATGATTACAGTTTTCCGGGGGTTTACAGACATCTGCTCCCTCTCATACCATCTGTACACAGTATTGAGGGCTTCTTGTAGGCCGTTTGAGATCGTCGCTTCAAATTTCCCTCTTACTATTAGGACGAGATCATCTGCATAGCATTGGAAATCCACCCCCTGCATGGAAAGATCGTTCAGCAGAGAGTCAACTAAAAATGACCACATAAGGGGGGAAAGTACCCCGCCCTGTGGACAACCTTTTGCCGCTCTAAACCTGATCGACTCTCCATGCAGTGATGATATGACGTACCGATTTCCAATCATGGTTTTGATCCAGTTGCATATTTGACTGCTGATTCCTCTACCTTGCATTGCCATGTAGAGTGATATTAGTAGGGCGTTATTGAACGCTCCTTCTATGTCTAGGAAAGCTGCCAGCGCAATTTCCTTATGATCTAAGGAATGGCTGATCTTTCCTACAAGATTGTTCAGTGCTAAATCCGTTGATTTGCCGCATATGGAGTAAAGCGCTGACTATGTCGAAATATTCTAAGCCTCGTTTATCTGATCCACTAATGAAACTATTTTTTTGTTGAATAAATTGTAGCTGTATAACAAATAACTACTTTCATTTCTCGGCCAACACAAGGGAGTTCACCACCGAGTCATCCATGCACCCTGTAGCCATGGGTCGTGACAATATCTTGGAGTCACAATCGACTCCAAGCTGACCTGTGATGAGCAGATAGGTAATCGCACCAAGAAGGTTATATGCTGCTATTGGGCATGCAGAAGAGCCTTTGAAAAAACGTGGGGCCTATCGCCTAAGGCCCCGCACTACACGGCAATTATTCGCCCTACACTATAACTTACGGGTCCATCGTATGGTGGACCAGTACTGAATAGATTTCATGGACTGGCTTGCTTAGGAATGACAAGTGCTGTGCTGCATCTGAATTTTAGAACTTAAAGGCTTGCGTATTGTATACAGACTCAAAGGTGTAAACCGATAAGGCAGAATAAAGCTGTCCCATGCTGCTGATGGTGAGAGACAGCACTCTGTCAGTTCCGAAATTCATTAAAGCTCCGCATGTCATTTTTCCTACAAGAGAGGAATGGATTGGGAATAAACCAAGTTTGCTTCCTGCCAACGGGTCAACTTGGTTTTCGGATTACTCAACATGAAGCACGAACAGGAAAAGGAATCTCAGTACCTCTCGGCAAATACGCCTCAGTGTTCCAGGCCGAAGTGTTCGCAATACTGACGTGTGTACAAGAGAATTGTGGACCAATAACCATATGCTCGGGCAGCAAAGGTGCTATTATGACATTGAGATTCAATGGAATCACAATTAAAGTGGTGTCCAAGTATTGAAGTGCAAAATATGGCAAAAACTAGGAAAATCAGCGTCATATGTAGGTCCCGCGGGACACTCGGGTATCCCGGGAACTGAGGACGCAGACAGACTAGCTAAGATCGGTTCAGGAACGCCACCCTTTGGACCAGAACCAATACTGTTAATATCCAATAGCATGGCTATGTCCTTCATGGAGGAAATGCTATAGGCAATTCCTTGAAACATGGAACACCAGGAATGAGGGTAGTTGGCGGGTTGGCTCTTAACTAAACACAACCACCTCAACAAGCACCTGGAGCTCATATAGAGATGGTGCTTGGAGGATGATGAAACATCATCGCACATACTCACTACATGCCCCGCGCTGGTGCATCAAAGGAAAGCTGCCTTTGGGAGCATTGAATAGCACTCAAAGGATATCAAATATATTCCAGAGTGTTCATGGAATAAAATTTTTAGAATATTGTAATCATTCATGGAATATTCCCTGCCAATAGGTTCCTATGAGCTTCTGAAATGAAATATTCTAGAACGACAACGTTTTAATCCTATTCAAGAATATTTTGATGACGTCCTCAGAATGTTTATAGAATATTTTCATCCTGCAACCGAAACTCTATGAACATCAAATTCGACATATTATTCTCCGAATATTAGGTTCGATTATTCTGAGAATGTACAGAATCGTATCAAATTATGATATTGATGATATTCTTGTACTGAATATACAAAGTGTTCCCCTAACCCAATCTATTTTTATACAGGGTGCCTCTTAAAAATCTCTACAGAAAGTCACCACATATTCCTCAGACCAAAACGGCTCTGAAGTTACCATTCTCAATTTGTTTTCGCTTCATAACTTTGAAACGGCTCATGAGATTCTACTTAAATTAGGCAGAGGAACCTGTATATCATGATCAAGATGGAAAACATTTCCTGGGGTTTGAAATTTGGCTTGCATTACTTGTTTACTACAATCCTGATGACGTTCGATCATTCATGGTTTCGACAAAATTTGAATTTTAGTAATTCAAAGCATCAGTTAACGTTGAAACGGTTAACAGATTTGTCATGAAAATTGTTCAAAATGTTCATCATTTACACATACTTATTTCGCTCGTCCCCAAAAATCCCAAGATTCACAAAAGTTGA